GATCAATTTTCCAACTTAATGTTCAACATTTCTTTAATAACCGTTACCTTCTTGAGGTTGAACTACATAACTACAATCCCGATGTTATACTTTTGAACGAGACAGCTGCAAGAGTTGATCAACATATTAAATTACGTGGATACTGTACTGTGGAGAAATCGAGAGGACCCTTTAGTGGTGTAGCCATCTTGGTTAAATTAGGATATACATTTAAAAATATTCATGTTGATGAAGATAACATTCTTGCAATAGAACTAACAACGTCGCATGGACAACTAGTGATAGGAACTGGATATTTTCCCCCGAGACAGCCATATATAGAGTCAATTCCTCTACATAGGATATTAAGCAGAAATATTCCAACAATTCTAGCTGGAGATTTTAATGCTCATCACCTGCCCTCTTCAACTGTGGAGCTGGTATTCCACTGGGTGACTTAAAAGGAAAACAACTCTTTAATATCATGACAGCTAGAAACTTGTCATTTCAAGGCCCATTCTTCAAATCGTACATTGGACCTCATCCAGGAACACCAGATATAGTACTGACAAACAGAGACTGTGACATCTTTCACTGTCGTATATCTCCTGGTGGAAATGTAGGATCTGACCATATCCCTGTTATAATACAACTACAAACTTCTCCATTTAGAATACCTGTAACTCCTAAACCCAATCTTAACACCCTAGGATTTGACCCCTTCAGGGCATATCTGGGTGAGGATGAAATTGTGTCTTTGGAAAATCTACCTTCCAGTGCAATTGATGATGCAATCAGGTCCCGGCACAATCGAATAATTGAAGCTACCAATGCAACTTGCCAATTAGCTTCCACAAAGATATACCAACAATATAAACCTACTAGAGAAATTAGAGACACTTTAAGAAATTATCAAGCAGAATGTCGAAGGCATCTTCAAACGCGACAACCACCAGCAGCTACACTGCACCGATTAAGGCACGAATTAATTAACATGATTAGTCAACACAAACGACACATATGGAAATTTCTAGTTCTTCAAGCTAATCAATATAAACGTGAACCAGCAAAATTTTGGAGTAAGATCCGACAACTTTTAGGGGGAAAGCACAAGGTTCCTAACTACCTAGTTCATACCTTCACTGATGAGGATGATGAAGATGTTGAAATTAAACTTGACGATCCACAGGACCAGGCTAATTTGATGGGTGATGTATGGGAGAAAATTCTCTCTCACAATAACAGTCGCCAATTTAATAATAATCATTATCAGTTAGTAAATGAATGATCTACAACCACTACCTACCATCGATACTTCAACTCTTGAAGATACCCACCCGCTTACTAGACCTATTACATTACTAGAGATAAGTCAGGTTATTGGAAGAATGAGAAATAGAGCCCCTGGCCTCTCTGGAATAACAATGAAACAAATAAAGTACCTACCTAGAAATTGCAAACAGTCCTTGGTAAATATCTTTAATGCCATCTTGGCCTCAGGACATTTTCCAGTTGTTTTTAAGACTGCTAGGATGATCTTTCTTGCTAAGCCCAATAAAGACATCCACCAACCTGGGAACTATAGACCTATATCTTTACTTGAAGTCACTGGAAAAGTTCTTGAGAAAGTCATTTCCAACAGATTGAATTACTATATGGAGTTTAATCACTTGTTTACTGAAAAACAATTTGGCTTTAGAACACATAGAGGTACCAATCATGCAATAAATGTTATTTTTGACACTGTAGCAAGTCTAAAACAGCAGGGCAATCTTGCCTTAATTGCCACCAGAGATGTTCATAAAGCTTTTGATAGCTTATGGCATGATGGCCTTATATACAAACTCATTGACCTACCAGACCATAACTGGACTTTTCTCAGAGTAATTTATAATTTCTTAACTCAAAGAAAAATCATTCCCACCTTTCATGGCAAGTCGACAGAACCTTTTATACCGACGGCTGGTGTCCCACAAGGTTCTTGTCTCAGTCCACTTCTGTTTAACATTTATGTGAATGACCTTCCTCAACCAGAGTTTAATGACACAATTGTGACACAGTTTGCAGATGATGTTATTCATGTCGTCTCATCAACTCCAGTAACAGGTAAATACAAGTATGAGAGAGTCATAGAAAAAATGAATATTGAACTTCATCGAACATCTAATTGGGAGAAGAAATGGAGAATTACGACTAATCCTGACAAGGTCCTTGTTAGCACGATAGGATGTTTTGCATCAACCATCGAAGATAAAGGGGGTATCTCCATCAGAGGTACACCTGTAGCCATTAGAAACCCTAACAAGATCTTGGGATATGAAATAGACAGGCTGCTCCACTCAACATCTCATGTAACTAAAAAGATCAACACAGCCAAAGCCGGTCTTAGCAGTCTCTTTCAATTCAATCAAGCCCCTCAACATGTCAAAAAACATCTGTATAAAATGATAATAAGACCTATACTCGAATACCCTTGTGTCCCAATGTCATTAACAACAAAGACCAACATGCTACGGTTACAAAGGGTCCAGAATAGAGCTCTTCGCTTTATTACCGATACCAGGAGGAGAGACAGAGTTAAAATGGCAGATTTACACACACAACAAGATATTACTGCCATAAATGTACGCCTTGACACCCTAAAAAAGAAACAACTTTATACAATGCAAGAACTATACATGCCAGATAGAGAACATCCTATACAAGTGATAAATACCACCGATTACACCATCAATACTCCGCTCACAGGACTCAAAGAATGACTCTCCCACAGAGGGTTCGTCGTTTTATTCATAAAGATGATTACCCTCGACCCATGATTTTGAGCAACTTACCTGATGAAGAAGATTGGATACCACCAGAACCCTTCTATGTATACTGAGAAAATCATCGCCCCCAATTAGGGAGACATCTTAAATAACTTTCTAATGTAAAATTATGCTATTGACTATTGTTGGACACCACCATTAAGAAGCTATTGTCACGAACTTATAAACTGGCCAGAAAATTATTGCCTTTTTTGTCGTATAAATATCCGTTGTGCAATCGCGAAAAAAAAAAAAAAAAAAAAAAAAAAAAACAATTGCAACTTGTATATAACTACTACCAATTCAGAGTCATGTACTTATATACCTATTATATCTATGTGACTCTGATGGGTTAGTATTATACCCCTTTAAGAATATCTTATCAATTCACATACACTTTTTAAATTACACCAAAGTGGTTGGGCCACTTACCTTTTATATCCTACCTCTCCCCCCCCTCCCACCCTTTTCCAATATTTCCATCCTTACCCATCCTTCTTCCTTACCCATCTTACCAAAGCTCTGGTCATCAGAACTCGAACTCGGTGATCATTTGGGACAACTCGAGGCTTATTCTCGCTCTGCCGCGAGAGGTCGAGATGGTTTACCGACACGCTGTGTGCAGACAAATCCTGAATGACAACCGCTGCGAGATGTGTAGACAGTTGGAGATTTCTCTACATGCGATATATTTCTGTCCGTATTTGACAGAGATAGAGAGTTGCTTTGGGCTGTTTTATGTACTTTTTGTGGGATTCCAAGGTCCAATGTTTTGCATACGCTTTGTTATATGTTCGGTTGCAGTAGTCATGTGCCAGGTACATAACTGTACAAGAGGTAGTGACGTGGTAGTGATGTGGTTACACATGAGAACTTCTGCTGTTCATTACTGCGCACGTCCTCGCCAATTACGAAGACGGATAGTCGGAGCTCTTCACCGAGGTTTTCACGGGTTGATGAGGGCTTGTTTGGAGAATTTGATAGTGGCCACGGCCGTGGCCAAAGTTCCCGTAGAACCTGTAGGCGACCTGTAGGGCTGTTGTGGACTATGCGTTTTCAGATAACGACATGCATACACGATGGTGGCTCTGTCTTCGTGCCCTATATCATATTATATGATGTATTTTGATTTAAAAAAAATAATAATATTGCCACTGTCGACTTCATGACAGTTTACAAAGTCATTCATTAGCAGGTGACCATAAATATGGTGTGCTTAACCTATCCTCAGTGAACAAGGAACCATTTCAGGGTGAAGATTCACGAGGTGCTTGTCTATAAGACCTGGTAGGTAAGATACATAGGCAACTTTATTCCGAAACGTTTCGCCTACACAGTAGACTTCTTCAGTCGAATACAGAAAGTAGGCAGGAACAGTAGAGATGTGAAGACGATATAATCAGTTCATCACCCTTGAAGTCGTAGATTTGAGGTTGTCAGTCCCTCAGCCTGGAGAAGTTCAGTTCCATAGTCAGGAACTATCTGAAGATCAAGCAACAGTGCGGAGACTTGAATACTGTCGGAAGGAGAGGTGCAGAGCAGTAGTAGTGAGAACGTAGCCACCGAGAGGTCACGTCCCTCTCAGATCAAACAATTCTCATTTGAAAAAGTTGTCCAAGCTGTACCAAGATGTACCAAGAGTAGTGTGTGTTGCAGTGTCTGACAGTGTGAATATCAAAATGGTATACAATACCGACAGGTTGGTAGGTAAGACACATAAGCAACAGTTAGGCAACTTTATTCCGAAACGTTTTGCCTACACAGTAGGCTTCTTCAGTCGAATAGACAAAGTAGGCAGGAACAGTAGAGATGTGAAGACCAACTGGGCATTTCTCAGAGACCCTCAAGTTGTAGAGCATTCAGCTTGCAACTGAAAGGATCCAGGTCAAATACTGGGCGGGGATAGATGTATGGACAGACTACATAACACAAGTTGTCCGTTACCTAATAGTAATTAGATGCTTGCCAGTTGTGGGTCGCATCCTCGAGAAAAGACTTAAAAAAAAAATGGACCCCAGTGCAAATAAGCCTTCAAATAAAGTCTTAATTCTTATACAGATCCTCTATGGAGCTTCATTCGTCTGGCAGTTTGAGTGGGAGAGTTAAAGAGAACCGAACGACAATGTATTATAAAATATATAAAGACACGAGTAGTGTCTATAGTAACGTGAGATGACGACTCTTTCCTCCTTGTATAACAGCATGAGGCGACGACCTGTCCTCCTTGTGTAACTAATCCTCATCCACCGGCTGGAACATCGTGTATATAACCCAAGCCGGATCTGTGGAGGTGCTCACATAGCCAGGTGCCTTCACCACCCACACCCACACTCCAACATCCGTCGCTGGCGAACGCCCCTCTAGTCATCAGGTGAGGAAAACTTTCAACAGACGAGTCTAAGAGACGACTTGAACCCTGTGACAACTTCAACAGGTGAATACTTAGTGATTAATGGAGATGTAAACAAAAAGTAAGAGAAACCTAAGTGAACCCTCAATGTAATGATACTTAAGTGAACGTGTTAACCACAATGATGATGCCAACTGCACCGAGCACTTTAGTCAACGCATGAGCGTCGAACTAACTCAACAAACTAACAAAGTGCGCAATGTATGTTAACAAGTGAACCTGTCATTGGTGTTCCCTATTGTAGACACTGATACTAAATACTTCCAACTTGCCGAAAAAAAATGTAGGCAAGGATGCGGAATATTTCCCGGTAATCCGGAACTTTGGTTCACTAAAAATCAGTCATTTTCGTTTAATTCTATATCATATTGTTCATAGTTCTCAGAGAAAGTCAGTAACAATTGCTTGAAGAAATAGAGGAGACTAAGTAACGAAAAATTTAATTTTATTCCCTAGTTTTTTTTTTTTTTTTTTTTTAATTCGCCGGTATTCTCCCGGCCCGGGTCTTTTCCAAGTAGTGGTGACTAGTAATGTCTTCAGCACGCAGAGTCTATGGGTCTATGAAAGATGAGGTGAATCATAGAATTGATGAGGGGAAAAGGGTGAGTGGTGCACTTAGGAGTCTGTGGAGACAAAGAACTTTGTCCTTGGAGGCAAAGAGGGGAATGTATGAGAGTATAGTTTTTACCAACGCTCTTATATGGGTGTGAAGCATGGGTGATGAATGTTGCAGCGAGGAGAAGGCTGGAGGCAGTGGAGATGTCATGTCTGAGGGCAATGTGTGGTGTGAATATAATGCAGAGAATTCGTAGTTTGGAAGTTAGGAGGAGGTGCGGGATTACCAAAAATGTTGTCCAGAGGGCTGAGGAAGGGTTGTTGAGGTGGTTCGGACATGTAGAGAGAATGGAGCGAAACAGAATGACTTCAAGAGTGTATCAGTCTGTAGTGGAAGGAAGGCGGGGTAGGGTCGGCCTAGGAAGGTTGGAGGGAGGGGGTAAAGGAGGTTTTGTGTTCGAGGGGCTTGGACTTCCAGCAGGCATGCGTGAGCGTGTTTGATAGGAGTGAATGGAGACAAATGGTTTTTAATACTTGACGTGCTGTTGGAGTGTGAGCAAAGTAACATTTATGAAGGGGTTCAGGGAAACTGGCAGGCCGGACTTGAGTCCTGGAGATGGGAAGTACAGTGCCTGCACTCTGAAGGAGGGGTGTTAATGTTGCAGTTTAAAAACTGTAGTGTAAAGCACCCTTCTGGCAAGACAGTGATGGAGTGAATGATGGTGAAAGTTTTTCTTTTTCGGGCCACCCTGCCTTGGTGGGAATCGGCCAGTGTGATAATAAAATATTTTTTTAAGTTTATGTAAGACTACGTGACATTTATTTATGTTTTGTTTCTGATTATTCTAAAGAAAATTATTATAAACTTCTTTTTCTAATTAGGGAAGTCTGAACTCATTCTACTCTCTTATTGAAGAGCCTAAAGTAAACGCATTAAATATTTCCATGATAGGCGCACTGGATGACCCTTGTCCCTCACAGCTATAGCCATGTTCGTGAATATTTGACTTGTAATCTCCCGATTTCTAAATTATTTAACATGTTGCAAGCTTTAACACCAAGGATACTGAACCTGTTACGAGCTTTGACACTAAAGATATTCACGTTAAGAGAATACTCGCACAATTGTACAATATTTTAGCCAGGTTGCAAAAATCTCTGGAAACTAGAGTACATGTATTTTGGTTATATCGTTGGAAAGCTGGATATGAACATTCACGGTAGAGTTATGTGTCCTTGAGTATGTACACAGTGTATTTCACTCCTTATATTAGGGATACAAGTATCCTTGATATTACTGTCTGCTTGAAACACAATAAAGTCACACCATACCCATTCTATGGGTGGTAGTCACCCCATAAACTATCCCGTGGGTTGTAGTCAAAAGAGTAGAGGCACAAAATGGATCCAGGGGCTGGACCTCAACAATCTGAAACCTCTTCAAGTAACACTGGTAATGAACTGCTGCATTTGTTCACTTCTTGTATAACTTCACAACAATAAAGTTGTTTATACAGGCATGAAGTTACAAAAATATTATAATGTGTCTAACGTTTGGTTGTAGGTTACTAGTGTGTGGTTGTGGGTTACTAGTGTGTGGTTGTGGGTTACTAGTGTGTGGTTGTGGGTTACTAGTGTGTGGTTGTAGGTTACTAGTGTGTGGTTGTAGGTTACTAGTGTGTGGTTGTAGGTTACTAGTGTGTGGTTGTAGGTTACTAGTGTGTGGTTGTAGGTTACTAGTGTGTGGTTGTGGGTTACTAGCGTGTGGCTGTGGGTTACTAGCGTGTGGTTGTGGGTTACTAGCGTGTGGTTGTGGGTTACTAGCGTGTGGCTGTGGGTTACTAGCGTGTGGTTGTGGGTTACTAGCGTGTGGTTGTAGGTTACTAGCGTGTGGTTGTGGGTTACTAGCGTGTGGCTGTGGGTTACTAGCGTGTGGTTGTGGGTTACTAGCGTGTGGTTATCAGTTACTAGCAATACACAATATTTAGGAAGATAAAATGGCTATTTATTTTTTATTATAGACAAAGTCAGGACATTTTTCCACAACTGTTGGTAATACGTTACTGTAGATAAAATACTTTGACATTTCTTAAACATTTGTGAACTGTCTGTAAATTCACTATTTATTCTTCGCATGCCACCATATAATAACGCAGGGCGTGACAATGGTCCATCTAGTAGTTTACATTTAGTTATGTCTGCATCAGCTAGTGATGTTGATGTGACCTCCCAGAGATACTTGTAATCCAGCCGGAGCCTGGCGGTAGTAACATCCAAAAGTCTGATGATTTTGTTGGATGTACCATAAACATGCGGCTCCTCCTGCATGACAGAATGATCACAGACGGACCGAATGGTGTCAGTTTCTCTGTCTGAAGTCAACGAAGTTAATCTGAATCATTAGATCAGTGATATAATACCGACAAATGATGAAGAGGACTTGTGTAAGATCCGAGTATCTTTACTGATCTCAATAAAGGTACCCAGGTGCTGCACATGAGGCGAAGTTCAGTTGTTCTTTTCATATTATTGCCCTCAAACTATAAGTTGACATCTTAAAATTGTAATATACTCTTTCTATAAAAGGCATATGCCTTTGTCAATTCGTTAGTTCCATCACTTGTAAAGGGCAGCAGTTGTGTGTGATTGAGGCATCAAAACTGGCATCACGTAAGGTTCTTTTGGGGGAATAGTGAATTTTGGTGAGAACTAATTTCCCAAATTTGTCTCGTTGCAGGATGCATCCGCTGAGTAGACAGACGAGTCAGCAGCAACAACAGCAACAGCAGCAGCAGCAGCAGCAGCAGATGCCACCGCCCGTGCCGCCCTTCTCCCGCCCAAGGCCCTCCTTCCCGCCCAAACATGTAAGTGCCACCCGGTCACACTCAGTGCCACCAGGAACACCCGCCCACGCATTCCACTCACCCATTACGGCCCTCCCACTCCGGACCACCTACTCATTCCACCAACAGTCACCATTGTTACATCATCGACCCATCTATTTACTACTCACGGCTCTTGAACATTATTTGGATACAGTCCAACTATCGCCATCTTGAACACGTATTTACAGTGTAAACATTGTCGCCATCTTGAACACTTGGGGTCAATGTAAATACTGTTGCCATTTTGAATACTTCGCTTCCTAAATCACCATCATTAACTAATAAACCATAATATCAGGTTTTATGATATGAGTTCACCTGCAGAAGTGAGTGTGTGTTCCTGGGGTTCAATAGTCTTACAGCTTGGCTTCTTCCCTTAATCAGCAAGGTTTCCTGATTTTGTTCTCTTCCTTTTTTTCTCCTCCCTCCCTCAATTCCTCTCCTGCTTCGTCTGACTGCTATGTATAAATAGTTTACCTCTATCAAGATGTTCCATCTCTAGACAGTGACTTATTTCCAGAGGGGTCCTTGAAACATGCCTCACCTGGGACATGTGTTTTCAAGGACCCCAATCGAAATAAGTCACTTTGTTTTTTGGGTTATCCTAGGCAATTTACACATGTATGATAAGTGTACTTATATGTACCTGTGCCTAAAAAAGTTACCGATGTTCCTGTATACACGTTCTGTACGGCTGCTCACAGCAACGACCTTGGGGTTCGCATACTTAGGCATTTCGGCCGAGGCAAACATCAACCGAATAACCGCTGTAACAAACACATGACTGGTAAATTTAAGCATACCTTTCAAGAACATCAGCAAAGAGGGATTCACGACCTTATACACGGTATATGTCAGGCAAACCTTGAAGTATGCAGCGCCAGTATGGAACTCGCATGTGGGAAATGCATGTACAGAAGTTGGAAAAAGTGGAGAGGTCTGCAACGAAATTTGTCCCAGAGCTGAGGGGTATGAATTGTGAGGGAAGGTTAGAGGAGCTAAACCTCACGACACTAGAGGATAGAAGGACCAGGACCAGAGGTGACATAATTACGACGTACAAAATACTGAGAGGAATTAACAGGATGGACAGGGAGTGTGTTGGAGAGGCGGGTCTCAGGTACACGAGGTCACATCTGGAAGTTAAAAGTACAGATGAATCACAGGAAAGTTACGAAATACTTCTTAAGGATTAGAGGGGTCAGGGAATGGAACGACCTGGACAGGGAAGTGGTAGACAGAATCCATACATAGCTATAAGAATAGGTATGGTAGGGCTCACATAGCTAAAAGAGTGAAACCAGTAGCGGCCAGCAAAGAGCCAGGGCCAGGAGCTCAGACTCAACCCCTGCAACCACAATTAGGCGAGTACACACACACACACACACACACACCAGGGATAGACTCAGAAGTGTCCATGTTCGCAGATGATGTGAAGTTGATGAGAAGAATTAAATCGGATGCAGATCAGGAAGGACCACAAAGAGACCTGGACAGACTGGACACGTGGTCCAGAAACTGGCTTCTCGAATTCAACCCTGCCAAATGCAAAGTCATGAAGATTGGGAAAGGGCAAAGAAGACCGCAGACAGAGTATAGGCCAGATGGACAAAGACTGCAAACCTCACTCAAGGAGAAAGATCTTGGGGTGACCATAACACCAAGCACGTCTCCGGAGGCACACATCAACCAGATAACTGCTGCAGCATATGGGCGTCTGGCAAACCTGAGAAAAGCGTTCCGATACCTTAATAAGGAATCGTTCAAGACACTGTACACTGTGTACGTCAGGCCCATACTGGAGTACGCAGCACCAGTTTGGAACGCACACCTGGTCAAGCACGTCAAGAAGTTAGAGAAAGTACAAAGGTTTGCAACAAGGCTAGTTCCAGAGCTCAGGGGAATGTCGTTCAATGGAAGGTTGAGGGAAATCGGACTGACGACACTGGAGAACAGAAGGGTCAGGGGAGACATGATAACGACATACAAGATACTGCGTGGAATAAATAAGGTGGACAGAGACAGGATGTTCCAGAGAGGGGACACAGAAACAAGGGGTTACAATTGGAAGCTGAAGACTCAGACGAGTCACAGGGATGCTAGGAAGTATTTCTTCAGTCATAGAGTCGTCAGGAAGTGGAATAGCCTAGCAAGTGACGTAGTGGAGGCAGGAACCATACATAGCTTTAAGACGAGGTATGACAGAGCTCAGGGAGCAGAGAGAGGACCTAGTAGCGATCAGTGAAGAGGAGAGGCCAGGAGCTGAGTCTCGACCCCTGCAACCACAATCAGGTGAGCACACACACGCACGCACGCACACACACACACACACACACACACACACACACACACACACACACACACACACACACACACACACCAAGGCAAGAGTACGACGAGAGCGATGGTTGACACACTGGCTGCAGTGGCCAGAAGAGTTCATGCATGCAGGGCAAAGCTCCTGATCATGGGTGACTTTAACCACAAGGAGATCGATTGGGAGAACTTGGAGCCACATGGGGGCCAAGATACATGGAGGGCTAAGATGATGGAGGTGGTACTGGAAAACTTCATGTACCAACACGTAAGGGACACTACAAGAGAGAGAGAGGAGAGGATTGAACTATCATGTGGGAGTTCGAACACGTGGATTGGGTAAAGTAATACTCACGTAGGCTGGTAGTACGTATAATTACAGATAATGTGGGGAGCGCCCTTACAGCCGTAACCTTGTCTCCTTGCTCACTCTCGTAACACTGACTGGCCGCCCACAGTACCCATATGTGAGGGGGTCTTTGAATAGTGCTATGGTCAGCACAATATGAGTTCAGACAGTGACTCAGGCAGAGACGGTTGGTAGTGAGTCAACTACTGGTACACTGGTTACTGGTAACTGGTTACTACTACTGAGAGAACCAGCAAGACTGGACTTAGTATTCACCTTGAGTAGTGCAGATATCGAGGACATCACATATGAAAGACCCCTTGGGGCCAGCGATCACATGGTTTTAAGCTTCGAATACACAGTAGAGCTACAAGTGGAGGGGGAAGCAGGAAGGCCAGGACGAATGAAGCCAGACTACAAGAAAGGGGACTACATGGGAATGAGGAACTTCCTGAACGGGGTTCAGTGGGACAGAGAACTGGCAGGGAAGCCAGTTAATGAGATGATAGAACATGTAGCAACAATATGCAAGGAGGCTTAGGAGAGGTTTGTACCCAAGGGTAACAGGAATAATGAAAAAGCCAGGATGAGCCCATGGTGCAGGGAGGCAAAAACCAAGTGTGCTAGGGAATGGAAGAAATATAGAAGGCAAAGGACCCAGGAGAATAAGGAGAGCAGTCGTAGAGCCAGAAACGAATACGCACAGATAAGAAGGGAGGCCCAACGACAATATGAAAATGACATAGCAGCGAAAGCCAAATCTGACCCGAAACTGTTATACAACCACATCAGGAGGAAAACAACAGTCAAGGACCAGGTAATCAGGCTAAGGAAGGAAGGAGGAGAGACAACAAGAAATTACCGTGAAGTATGTGAGGAACTCAACAAGAGATTCAAAGAAGTGTTCACAGAGGAGACAGAAGGGGCTCCAGAAAGACGGAGAGGTGGTTCACACCACCAAGTGCTGGACACAGTGCACACAACCGAGGAAGAGGTGAAGAGGTTTCTGAGTAAGCTAGATACCTCAAAGGCAATGGGGCCAGATAACATCTCCCCATGAGTCCTGAGAGAGGGAGCAGAGGCGCTATGTGTACCCCTAACAACAATATTCAATACATTTATCGAAACAGGGAGATTGCCTGAGGCATGGAAGACAGCAAATGTAGTCCCAATCTTTAAAAAAGGAGACAGACATGAAGCACTAAACTACAGACCAGTGTCACTGACATGTATAGTATACAAAATCATGAAGATTATCAGAAGAGTGGTGGAACACCTAGAAAGGAATGATCTCATCAACAGCAGCCAACATGGTTTCAGGGACGGGAAATCCTGTGTCACAAACCTACTGGAGTTCTATGGCATGGTGACAGCAGTAAGACAAGAGAGAGAGGGGTGGGTGGATTGCATATTCTTAGACTGCAAGAAGGCGTTTGACACAGTTCCACACAAGAGATTAGTGCAAAAACTGGAGGACCAAGCAGGGATAACAGGGAAGGCATTCAATGGATCAGGGAATACTTGTCAGGAAGACAGCAGTGAGTCATGGTACGTGGCGAGGTGTCAGAGTGGGCACCTGTGACCAGCGGGGTCCTACAGGGGTCAGTCCTAGGACCAGTGCTGTTTCTGGTATTTGCGAACAATGACGGATGGAATAGACTATGAGGTGTCCCTGTTTGCAGATGACGTGAAGTTGATGAGAAGAATCCACTCGATCGAAGACCAGGCAGAACTACAAAGGAATCTGGGCAGGCTGCAGACCTGGTCCAGTAATTGGCTCCTGGAGTTCAATCCCACCAAGTGCAAAGTCATGAAGATTGGGGAAGGGCTAAGAAGACCGCAGACGGAGTACAGTCTAGGGGGCCAGAGACTACATACCTCACTCAAGGAAAAAGATCTTGGGGTGAGTATAACACCAGGCACATCTGAAGCGCACATCAACCAAATAACGGCTGCAGCATATGGGCGCCTAGCAAACCTCAGAACAGCATTCCGATACCTTAAAAAGGAATCCTTCAGGACCCTGTACACCGTGTACGTTAGGCCCATATTGGAGTATGCGGCACCAGTTTGGAACCCACACCTAGCCAAGCACGTAAAGAAACTAGAGAAAGTGCAAAGGTTTGCAACAAGACTAGTCCCAGAGCTAAGAGGTATGTCCTACGAGGAGAGGTTAAGGGAAATCAACCTGACGACACTGCAGGACAGGAGAGATAGGGGGGACATGATAACGACATACAAAATACTGAGAGGAATTGACAAGGTGGACAAAGACAGGAGACAGGATGTTCCAGAGATTGGACACAGTAACAAGGGGACACAGTTGGAAGTTGAAGACACAGATGAATCACAGGGATGTTAGGAAGTATTTCTTCAGCCACAGAGTAGTCAGCAAGTGGAATAGTTTGGGAAGCGATATAGTGGAGGCAGGATCCATACATAGCTTTAAGCAGAGGTATAATAAAGCTCACGGTTCAGGGAGAGTGACCTAGTAGCGACCAGTGAAGAGGCGGGGCCAGGAGCTCGGACTCGACCCCTGCAACCTCAACTAGGTGAGTACAACTAGGTGAGTACACATACACACACACACAAGTTGAAGACTCAGATGAATCACAGAGATGTTAGGAAGTATTTCTTCAGACACAGAGTTGTCAGGAAGTGGAATAGCCTGGAAAGTGAAGTAGCGGAGGCAGGTACCATACATAACTTTAAGAAGAGGTATGATAAAGATCATGGAGCAAGGAGAGAATGACTTGGTATTGACCAGTGAAGAGGCGGGGCCAGGAGCTATGATTCGACCCCTGCAACCACATATAGGTGAGTGCATATAGGCGGGTACACACAAGCACACACATATACACACACAGAGGAATCGACAAGGTGGACAGGGCTAGAATGTGTCAGATGGGACACAGGAACAAGAGGACACAACCGGAAGCTGGAAACTCAGATGAGTCACAAGGGTGTTGGGAAGTATTTCTTCAGCCTTAAAGTTGTTAGGAAGTGGAACAATCTAGGAAGTGAGGTAGTGGTAGCAGGATCCATATGTAGCTTTAAGAAAAGGTGCGGTAAGGCTCTTGGAGTAGATGGAGAGAGTGGATCTAGTAGCGACTAGTGAAGAGGCCGGGTCAGGAGGTATAAATCGACCCCTCCCCCCACATATAGGTGAGTACACACACACACACACACTCACGTTCACGTTTCACTTTCAGGAGCATGAATATGAGGATGAGTGGAGGTACGGGCGTGGGCGTCAGAGGTACTACGCCCGTGACGCAGCAATGCGGGCGTGCTACGACATCTGGCGACGACGCTACAACGAGATGCCTGCAGATCCAGCTCAAAACTACGCCTCCCAGTGTAAGCACCATCTGAGAAGTGTTAGGAAGGTTCAAGTCACCTTAAAGAAAGCTAAGGGGAATTAGGAACCTTTAACTGCCCCTTGAGTAGGTCGTGGGTCTCTTGGGTGGATTAATTCCCTTATAATAACTTTAGGGATATTTAAGTTCCTTAAATGTAGGTTTAAAGTTTCCACACACAAAAAAGAAACTTTAAGGGAAGGTTTTATTTTCCCCACACGAGTAAACTTTGAAACTGGGCCTTTGGGTGGGTTTAAATTCTAGATGGTCTGACGATTCTTAACAGGAGTTTTCTGTTATATACTACGTATTCCATGGTCTCTTCTGATGTATATACGAGTAGGTGTACAACATGTACATGACCCACTCAGTGGCCAGACTGACCTGGCTTGACTCTCATCATCCCGCAGCCCACTTCACTGGTGTCCCAGCTGACACCCTGAGGGTGGAACACGTCGACTTCCACTCCCAGGAGAACGCCAAGGATCACCGCACCTTGCAGTACGACCTCGTCCAGGACCTGGACCGCCCCAGCCCCGTTTACCGCAGGGGTCAGGTCTTCCACCTCTCCCTGGTAAGAAGTTTTATTAATGCTGCTGCTGTTAGGCCCCCTTTCCTCCCCTCTCTTCTCTTTTTATATATATGTGAGAAGAGGAGTTGCTGGCACTTTAGACGGAAGTATGATGCAAGAAAAAACTATGAAAATAATTATTTCAACAAGATGTGAGAGTTTGAAAAAGGCTTTGAATGAAAGTGGATTATGTTTTCACTCGGGATGCTGGGTCACGAATATTTACGTAATAACCACTAGGCACGCGGCTCAGGATTCCCACTAACACACTCTGAAGATCTGAGCGCTAAGATTGCTGCTTAAGAATACGTATATGGATAGATTAAGTGCTACTAGGACGTCTTGCAAAAAAATTTGGGATAGTTTTAGTGATGGGTTTCAAAGGTTAAATCTAGGCAATACTATTATTATGGTTATATTCCCACTGTTCGGCACTAACAAGACACTTGTGACCTATCACTTTTCCTGTTTCTCCGATCTCTGATTTTTTTTTTTCTCGGCCTCCTCTCATTTTCTCTCAGCAACAACATTCGGTAATCTCCACTCAACACATCCTCCTCCCTAATCTTTCTGTTTCCCCATCTCACTCTCCTCTTCTCCATCCCCTTCCTTACAGTCCTCCTAGTCTCCCCATCTCACTCTCCTCTTCCCCATCCATTTCCTCCCAGTCCTCCTAGTATCCGCACCTCACACATCTCACCAGCATCTCCTCCAACAGGTGACTCGCGAGAGGGAGTTTGACTGCACCAGGGACCACCTCTACCTCAACTTTTACTTCGGACCACAACCATCAGTGCCCAAGAGGACGAGGGTAGTGCTGCCTGTTACCATCCAGAAGGAGTTCACACGAACCCCTCAGAAGTGGGACGTCCGTATCCAGGCGCAGGAGGGGAACACCCTTACATTGCAGGTGGGTAGAGGTGGAAACACTCTACTGTGGTGATCTGGATTACTACTTCAGAATGCGCGTGCCTTATCAACATTTATTTATGAAGCAAATAATTGTAATAACACCCTGAGGTCCCCTTGCATGACCTGCAGTGATACCCTTGCTTGAACTGTAGTACTTCTGCTTATCATTCCCCCCCCCCGCACACATACACCATAATCTTTCGCTGCTTGAGCTACATGTAGTGACAACTTAACCCCTCTCATCTTGCCCTACCAGGTACACATCCCCGCGACGTGCCCAGTGGGAGTGTGGCGTTGTGTGGTGGAGACGGCCACCAAGAAATACCCGAAGAACAGGACTCAGTACCGCGCCCCTGAGGACGTCTTCATCATCTTCAACCCCTTCTCCAGAGGTCAGTCTTACTGAAGTTCTTTATACAAGCTTAGCACTTTTTGTCAATGAAATAACAATCCCTATCCACCTAAAATTTACCTCGGACTTCTCTCGTGTTTCCTAATTTAACTTTAGTTAAATGTTTACGTCTTGCAATCTGTAATTTATCGTCTGAGTCACCTGGTATGATACGGCGGACTAAGCTCTGCTGTGTTCCTCTGGTTGTGGACCTCACATTGTCTATCCTTCTACGTCTTACCAGTGTCACCCCAGAGTGCTTGTTTTTTCTGTATGGTAATGTTGACTTTGTGTGTACCCTTCAATATATTTTATTCTACAATCTTTACCACCAATATTTCTCAAACCCTCCCTCACCACCCCCTTCATTCACCACCAGAGGACACCGTGTACTTGGAGAACGAGGCTCAGCGTACTGAGTATGTGATGACCGAGAGCGGCAAGGTGTACCGTGGAGGTTCCCGCTACACTCAAGGACGACCTTGGGTCTTCGGTCAGTTCGATGACTGCGTCCTGCCTGCTGCTTGTCTCCTGCTCGAGATGTCTGGCCTCACGCACACTGAGAGAGGCAACCCTGTCAAGGTGGCCAAGGCTCTAAGTTCCATGGTTAGTACAACCTCGTTAAGGTTTGGGCTACTTTAGAAACATAAATATAGAAATAAAATTATGAATAAGTAAACTGCGCATATCTTGAAGAACTGTAAGGGGGAATAAAGAAAATTACTGTTGTTTTTGTTTCGTGTTTTAACTTTCGTATTTTTTCATATTTTAGTGTAGGGCCTTAAAATTTACAGTTAAGTTTAAAACTTCAATTTAGACAAAAATGTGAAGTTAAAAACTTGAAGTGATAGAAGGAATTTCAATTATTTATGTTAACTTTCTTTCTAGGTTGTTATAATCTCTAATTTTTAGCTTCCTGGGATGACATGATATAAACAACAGTTTGTTGAGTGATCTACAGTGCCTGACCAATATCTGTAACACTTGCCTCTCCCTCCAACAGATCCAGGCGTCTCGTAGGCATCGAGACTACGATGACGAGAACCGGGAAGGACTCTTGGAGCCCCACTACGAGGACGAGTACCGTGGGGGCCAGAACCCCCACCTCTGGACCGGCTCCGTCAAGATCATCCAAGAATTCCTCTTGCACGGTGCCACCCCCGTCAAGTACGGTCACTGCTGGGTGATGGCTTGCCTCATGACGACGGGTGAGTGGGGAACAGGGAGAGGAAGGGCGGGTGCATGATGGCGGAAAGTGAGTGACAGGAGGTGGAAGGAGGGTAGACAAGCAAGGATCACAATGTATTGATTCTATATTCTTTTGCATTCATATTTACACTCAGGCGTTGATAAATTCAGACATAGGTTAATAAGAGCCCATGCCCACACACATGCTACTACCCCCCCCCCACACACACAAACACCGAACAGGCCAAGTGTCTTATCGACAAGTGCCTTTGACAAAATGGTAACTAATATCAAGACACACACTACTCCCGCATATTAAACACAATCATAACTACATAGTCACATTTTCACACCCAACCATGTCACTAATCCTTGAACGCCCACAGTGTGCCGCGCCCTGGGTTTGCCTGCCCGACCCACTACCGCCCTCACCTCCGCCCATGAGACACAAGAAACATTCACCATCGACCGATACATCGACCGCTTTGGTGACCTGGTAAGTTGACTTAAGAGCGATCTCTGAGGAAGGTGTTAATAGTGACTTTGAGAGTATGAGGACCTGGGAATGGAGGTAAATGGAGGAGAAATTTAGGATAACATGTAGGGAAAGGCGACCTGGGTGAGGTTAAGGAGGTGACTTTGACTTTGTCTCATTAAAAGAAAAGATCATCCTGTGGGTAAGGTCACCTGGAACTAGATACAATACTACTACGTGGATCAGGAGAGTGAATGAGATGACCTAAGAAGAAAAAACTATATTTTTTTGTGAGGTTCGGTTGGGGGTGAGGAGGAGGGATCAGATTACTTATGAAACTTGACTTCGAAGTGGGGCTGAGTTTTTACTTCTGGCAGATCGAGCGGGGTCCTGGACGCGACCAGCCAGACTCCCTGTGGGCCTTCCATACCTGGTGCGATGTTTGGATGGCTCGTCCAGATCTTCCCTCAGGCTATTCTGGATGGCAGACGACAGATCCAGCTCGCGCCTACCATTTCAGTGAGTACAAGCTGTTTGTGTCTACATCAGCTCCACCTTCTAATACTAAGCCATATTTCAACTGACGCAGCTGGTCTCTAGTCCTCATTTAGCTCATTCAGTTAATTTTATTACTGTTAGGGTAACAAAGTACTTATAGCTGTGTTTTGCTTCAATATTTGACTATCTGTTATGGTGTCTTCTGCATCAATTCGACACTGTCCAGAGCAACAACAAGTCAGGTCATAAAAATCCACTTGCCTGTACTCACTCCTGTCTAACATTTTCGCACATACCTTTTGGATATCGAAGGCCCTCTCCCACAAAACTTCCTTTATCCTCCCTTTTCCAACGTTTCTACGACGTCCCCTAGCCCTCCTTCCCACTTCAGATTTATGTACAATCCAAGTTATCCTATTCTGACCCATCCTCTGTAAATGTCCAAACCATCTCAACAACCCCTCTTCAGGCCTCTGTACAATACTTTTAGTAACCCCACACTTCCTTCTAATCTTCAAACTACGAAATCTCTAAATAATGTACACCTACATACAGGTTATCATATATATATATATATATATATATATATATATATATATATATATATATATATATATATATATATATATATATATATATTATATAATGTCAACATGCTGGCCGTCTCCCACTGAATGAATGGTTAGCATTTCCCTTTCCATCTGCTAATGACTGCCTGTTTTTTTAATCTTGCTTACTCTTGTCTCCCTCGGTGCAGAGTTCTCCAGTGGGTGTGGTCCCTCCTCGACGGAGGCTGTGAAGAGAGGAGACATCGGGTTCTCCCAAGACACCAGCGCCTTCTTTTCCGCCCTCAACACCTTCGTCAGATACTACTACGAGGACGACGAATCCGAGTGGGGCTACACTCCTTACATGCAACACAGGTGAGTGGGACTACACCCCGTACATGCAGCAGAGGTGAGTGGGGCTATACCCCGTATATGCACAGCAAAGGTTAGCGGGGCCATACCACTCACAGCATATGTAAGTGGGGTTACACCACTCACGGCAAGGTGAGCCTGCATTGGCTTGAGAATGTAAACATTTTAAGCAACATAACCTGAACAATGGAAGCAGCTTACTGTCACTCCAAGAAATAATAAACAAATGTCAACAAAAGTCAAAGTTTGTTAGTTATAAAATCAATAAAACTTCCAGCTTGTTATACTTAAGAAATGATAACTAAAACCTCGATGTTTCTATCTTTTGGTGAGTTCAATGCTTCATCCTTCTTTCATGCCACCTTCAGACTGCCAGTGTGTCGCTCCGTCGTCACGAAGGCTGTTGGGCGTCATGACGACGACGGTGACGCAGACTGTGAGGACGTCACAAAGGTGTACCGGGACCTGGAGAGCTCTGAGCCTGAGAGATTCACCGTCTTCAACGCCTGCAGGGGCATTAGGAAGGACCACGTCTACTACGACTTTCAGGTGAGAGAGACTACACTCCAAACGTTTCCCAACACTCCCCCCAAAATACAGTCATCACTGGCTCTCCCAATAACGCACCAACCTCCCAAATAAAATTTAAATTACTAAAGTATCGTTACCTCCACACATCAACAGGATCAGGGGAGCTACGACGTTGAGTTCGAGCTTCAGGAGCCGAAGCAAGTGAGCGCCGGCCAGAGCATCATCGTTACCCTTCAAGTCCACAACAACACCTCTGAGACTCGCACCGTCCAGGCTAACATCTCCACCAGGTAGCTCCACCTCCTTGCCCTCCTTTTGGGTTCTTATCCTCTTGGGTGCTCGGTGTTTGTTATCATCTGCTTGAATCTTTTTCCTTGCCCTCCTGGGTGCTGCTTCTTTTCGTCTAAGTACTTCCTTCCTCCTCCTGCTCCAATTCCTCTTCAGTCTGTCTTCGGTAACTACACTTTTGCTCTTCGCCGGTAACATAATAACTGATATTTATTTTGAAGTATTCCACGTTAGTTATCTGCCTAGAATTCCAACGATATTTATTGATAAACTATTTTTTTTTTCTATCTCACTGTTCTTCAGTTTGCTGCCTCTTTTCAAGATAGACAATCTCCCAGAGTCTTTCCAACCTTCAGACCTGCCGGAAACATCTCTCTTACCATTTTCCTCCGCCTTTTCCCAACTCCAACTGCTAGGTTAAAGATTCTCTCAACCCAGAGAGAAACATTCACCCCTTTGTTTACCAGTCCTTATCAACTTTCCTCTTCCACCGCAGGAGCTCTTTCTATACCGGGGTGTTGGGGACGCACCTCAAGAGGGTGACGGGCCAGTTCACCCTCGCCGGGGGCCAGAAGGACACTCTCACCCTCAAAGTGGACGCCTCCGAGTACCAGGACCGCCTCGTTGATATGGGCTTCATTAAGATCACCGCTACAGGTCACGTCTCCGAGAACAAACAGTCTTACATCGATGAGTTCGACTACCAGTTCGAGAAACCCAAATTAAGCATTGAGGTAATTCTAAAAAGAAACTTCTAACAAGCATTTATTCATGAAATCTTTGTGAGAAAAACCTTCATATATAAGAATCGAAAGCTTCATATGCCATTTACCTCAAATCATACTGTAAATGTGTATTAATCCAACTTCTTGTTTTCCTTCGACTCTGTTTTTCGTCTTTTTACTTGTAAGGAGTTTCACCACACGTTCCTGTGTCTCCTTCTCCAGGTTCCTGAGTGCCAGGTGGGACAGGAGTGCACAGCTAAATTCACCTTCAGCAACCCTCTAGACCTGCCTCTCACAGACTGCTTCTTCAGTATGGAGATCGGAGGCGCCTACAGGCCCAGGACCATCAGGGTGAATCGTGAGGTCCGTCCAAGGGAAACTTTCACTTATAGCCAGACCTTCGTACCTCGCAAGTCTGGTGAACACAGACTAGTGGCCTCCTTCGCCTCCCACCAGCTCCATGACGTTACGGGGTCCCGCAAGTTGACCATCCGAGAGTAGATTTCTTTTTTTCTACACCTCTTCCTTCTTACCTCCCCCCCCCCCCCCTTCGTGATGTTGGAAAAGTGTGAAAACAAAGCGTGCGTGTAACAGTAGTGAAAATGTAAACTGCGCATATATATACATATGATACTGAAGGTACCGAAGAGCACTTATAGATCTCTCTCTGGAATAATTCTTATCTAAAAGAATAAATATGATCTTGCTAAAAGAAGTAAGAGAACCGAAGAAGAACCATCATACCGGAATCTGTTGCTAATTTACCTTGGTGTGGCACCCAAGAAAAAAAAACAGATAAGAATATAAAATAACATGACGTAAGGTTCGAGTGGTGGGGTGAAGCATCAATGTAAAGAGTGGACTCGAGAGAAGGAAGCAGAATATAAGTGAAATGGGGAGGGGGAGATAGTGTATACTACACGTGTCCAAAGAAAACACGTTTTGAAATAAAAATACGTTTTGTCTCATCTCTTTGACTCGAGGTAGAATCATTTCGTACCAATGTAACTACTTTACTGCTCCTCCAACTCCGTTTGTGTCGCGGATGTATAAATATGTCGAGTGAGTGACATCACTTGCATGGTACAGTATACTCAGATATCCTGCAATTGAAAACTAACATCTATAAGCAAAAAAAAAAAAAAAAAAAAGCTAACCGTTCAGTATTTTCAACAATACTGTACAGGGTTCAAACGTCTTTACTTTTCTGTCAACAGTTTCGCTGTAATTTTATCCTAGATATGTGGATGTCTTTACACTATTTACTTTTCCCTCTTGCTATACACAGGCCTCTCGCAAGAACCCCTCCCCCACCTCTCTGAAACTACAATCACAATAATATACAAATTCACAAAGGCGACGACTACACGCAAGTTACTGGATATCTCAATCTTGGTTAGTTTTCTTTTAAAGTACAGCAGCCTCCATGCGTAGAAAATGGTTACTTTCTAGAGCCTCATTAGCTTTTGCAACTAAAAAAATACAAAAAAAAAAAGAAAAATGGATCTTGAAAGCTTGGAGATATGGCTATGGGGATGTTCATCTTGTGCTGCTTCTAAAGATGAAACTAAGTACCATAAAACTTAACAGCAACAGAAGTGGCTTCAATACTGTTAGCGTTTTTGTTATTTACTTATTTTCTCGGGCGGTCAGTTTTCAGCGAGTAACCTTCCCATGAGCCCCCATATCTCTGATCAAAGATAACAAAATAATTATGATAAGTCTTGGTGTTTGTGGTATTAACATAATGGTTGTGGGTCGCTAGTTTTGAATTATCATCATGAAACTGATTGATGAACTAAAGAAAAATATACGAGCATTTTATTAGCCTGAGAGCACATTGTTTTCCCTGGCCTTGAGTTATATATGCTTCTGCTTCACATATCACTGAAGGTGACACCACAATGATTTTCAGATGGTGAAGTGTAAACAGAGACATGCAAATAAAGATCTTCTTCAGCAGTATCCTAGTGTGTCATTTACCTCTACCGTAGTTTGTTTATTTACCTACACACATGTGCAGAGAAATTTCATATGTATACCACATGTTTCGTAAGGCCTTGACGGAGCTCACCAGTTCTCAAACGATGGTGAGCTCCATTAGACTTCCGAATGTCTGACCTCCCTTTGACACTCACTTAAATACATTACATGTGGCTCACCTCCACTGAAGATTGGTATCGTGAATCACTAGACCTTTTAACTCGACTGCAATGTCCTGAAATGTATCCTACCTAGTATGAGCTGTACTCAATCTTCACCAGTTCAACATAATTTATGGGTAATATAAACCACCAGTTGCTCACTATATTATACAAATAGGCATAATTCATCAGTATATATCTACCCACCTACTTTCCCCACTACTAGGAACACTAGCCATTCAAATTAGTACACTTCTTTCAACCAGAAACTAACAAATATTATTTATATGGAGCCAGTCAAAACACCACTCTAGGCTCCCCATTATCTCAGAGCTGGGGTAAGATAAGTTATAAATGCAGGAAAGAGTGGGGAAGATGCAAGAGCAATTTGGATGACATATATCTAACTACATATTATATATAATATAATATATATATATATATATTATATATATATATATATATATATATATATTCAACAAGTCGGCAGTCTCCCACCGAGGCAGGGTGACCCAAAAAAGAAAGAAAATCCCCAAAAAGAAAATACTTTCATCATCATTCAACACTTTCACCACACTCACACATTATCACTGTTTTTGCAGAGGTGCTCAGAATACAACAGTTTAGAAGTATACACATATAAAGATACACAACATATCCCTCCAAACTGCCAATATCCCAAACCCCCTCCTTTAAAGTGCAGGCACTGTACTTCCCATTTCCAGGACTCAAGTCCGACTATATGAAAATAACCGGTTTCCCTGAATCCCTTCACTAAATATTACCCTGCTCACACTCCAACAGATCGTCAGGTCCCAAGTACCATTCGTCTCCATTCACTCCTATCTAACACGTTCACGCACGCTTGCTGGAAGTCCAAGCCCCTTGCCCACAAAACCTCCTTTCGAGGACGACCCCTACCCCGCCTTCCTTCCCCTATAGATTTATATGCTTTCCATGTCATTCTACTTTGATCCATTCTCTCTAAATGACCAAACCACCTCAACAACCCCTCTTCTGCCCTCTGACTAATACTTTCATTAACTCCACACCTTTTCCTAATTTCCACACTCCGAATTTTCTGCATAATATTTACACCACACATTGCCCTTAAACAGGACATCTCCACTGCCTCCAACCGTCTCCTCGCTGCTGCATTTACCACCCAAGCTTCACTCCCATATAAGTGTTGGTACTACTATACTTTCATACATTCCCTTCTTTGCCTCCATAGATAACGTTTTTTGACTCCACATATACCTTAACGCACCACTAACCTTTTTTCCCTCATCAATTCTATGATTAATCTCATCCTTCATAAATCCATCCGCCGACACGTCAACTCCCAAGTATCTGAAAACATTCACTTCTTCCATACTCCTCCTCCCCAATTTGATATCCAATTTTTCTTTATCTAAATCATTTGACACCCTCATCACCTTACTCTTTTCTATGTTCACTTTCAACTTTCTACCTTTACACACATTCCCAAACTCATCCACTAACCTTTGCAATTTTTCTTTAGAATCTCCCATAAGCACAGTATCATCAGCAAAAAGTAACTGTGTCAATTCCCATTTTGAATTTGATTCCCCAAAATTTAATCCCAGCCCTCTCCCGAACACCCTAGCATTTACTTCCTTTACAACCCCATCTATAAATATATTAAACAACCATGGTGACATTACACATCCCTGTCTAAGACCTACTTTTACCGGGAAGTAGTCTCCCTCTCTTCTACACACCCTAACCTGAGCCTCACTATCCTCATAAAAACTCTTTACAGCATTTAATAACTTACCACCTATTCCATATACTTGCAACATCTGCCACATTGCTCCTCTATCCACTCTATCATATGCCTTTTCTAAATCCATAAATGCAATAAAAACTTCCCTACCTTTATCTAAATACTGTTCACATATATGCTTCAATGTAAACACTTGATCTACACATCCCCTACCCACTCTGAAACCTCCTTGCTCATCCGCAATCCTACATTCTGTCTTACCTCTAATTCTTTCAATTATAAGCCTACCGTACACTTTTCCTGGTATACTCAGTAAACTTATTCCTCTATAATTTTTACAGTCTCTTTTGTCCCTTTTCCCTTTATATAAAGGGACTATACATGCTCTCCGCCAATCCCTAGGTACCTTCCCCTCTTTCATACATTTATTAAACAAAAGTACCAACCACTCCAACATTATATCCCCCTGCTTTTAACATTTCTGTCATGATCCCATCAGTTCCAGCTGCTTTACCCCCTTTCATTCTACGTAATATACGTAATACACACACACACACACACACACATATATATATATATATATATATATATATATATATATATATATATATATATATATAAAGTATAAAGGATAACAGGTGAGCCTAGAGATTAATGTAGTACGTCTTCGTAACCTGTGTATGCATATATTCTTTGTAACAATTCTTGTGGTACTAGCAGATGTTGTTTATCATATAAGAGGACTCGCAATGATCCAAGAACCTACCATATATATTTTAACACGCTGGGCGTCTCCCAACGAGGCAGGGTGACCCAAAAAAAATAAAAAGAAACACTTTCACCATCATGCACACTATCACTATCTTTGCAGAAGCGCGCAGATACGGCAGTTTAGTTGTCGCTCTAAACAGCAAATATCCCAAACATTGTACTCCCTACCTCCAGGACTCAAGTCCGGCTACCCGGCTTCCCTGAATGCCTTCACAAAATATCACCCTGCTCACACTGAAAGAACTCGTCAAATCCCAAAAACCATTCGTCTCCATTCACTCTTATCTAACACACTCACATATGCCTGCTGTATGTATTTATTTCTTAGGCATATAAAGATTGCATCCTCTGGTTGGCAATGTTCTGCCTAGAAATTCCCTCCCAGGATCTATTCTTTATATCTATTCCTAGTATGATCTTATTTAATGGGAACACATTAAGTAAATATACTTTCCTGTGGGGTGAAGTTAAGAAGACTAAGTCGTGGTATATCCAATATGGCCTCTTGATGAAGCCCATATCGTAGCTGCTTCAGACGCCCCAGTTTTCGGATATCCACGTGTTACTGGCCATTCCTCTTGTGTCATTTTCCCACATATAATTTAATTCTTGAAGACTGAAGAGCAGTGTCTTCGACCGCGTATGAACGCTACCACCCACCAGTTTTTTACTATAATTATTAAAATTTAGCTCTTAGGTACACTGAGAATCTACTTCCTTTTAGAGATACTAAAATTAAATCATAATGAGCATCTTTACTGTAAAATTCGAGTGTAGTGCGAGCTCAAATGTAAATAAATTATGGTTTAATTAAGAGGTTATGACAATATTTACGTCACTCCCCACATTCTATAGTAAACATGTGGAAACATTTCCGTGCAAACACCCTGATACTCATCAACTCGTGATGTAATTATAGTTTAACACTGTAACATTAGGCAGATTAATTATTCTCTATAAAGCAAGAGATCATATCAATCTCACTAAGCAATTACAACTTTTAAGAGACCTTCATTAATAAGCCTACTCCATCCCTCTCGATTTCTAACAGCAGTTCTAGCAGTATGTCGTTTCTTGAGTTTTTTCATTCTGCGATGGAGCTGGATTGGCTTCCTCTTCGTGTCTAAGAGGATACAACGTCACTACCTTCATTAGTGTCACTGCACTTCTGACAAGATCAACTTTTACTTGAACTTCTTCTTGTTGGGTTTATAAGAGACACTGACAACTTGCCACCTTATCGAGTCCTGCTTCAAGATGTACAAGAAGCGCTAAATCGGTATAGGTAAGATAAGTAAGTTTATTTTGGTATAGGTACACATGAATGTAATTATCATATATAGTGTGAATTACATAGGATAACCCCCAAAAAAGTCAGACATTTTGACTTATTTCCACTGGGGTCCTTCAGACGAGATATTGCCTAGAGCTGGGCGACGAAAGAAAAAGGAACAGGAGTCCCTTTGTAAATAGAAACAGAAAGTATTAATTTCCAAACAGACCAGGTGGACCCCCTCGTCAAGCTCCAGCAGAGCAAGGACACCCACTCACTCACTTGAGTTCATCAACCGGCTTCCCACTAAAACCGTTAAAGAATTATCCGCAGCGCAGAACAATTTACTGACTACTTACGTAATTCTAGCACTAATTCCGTGCTACACAAAAGTGAAAAAAATACGTACACTATTAGGCACAATATTCTATGTTGATGCACGTATTTTAAGGTCATTGGAATCACCCACGTAGTTCAATGGACGGTCATTTATTCTATTCTCAGCCTCCACCAAAACATTTTGAAATTCCTTTAGGTGAAGATCGTTTGAGGGTTCCGATCAAACGTTCATAAAATCTCCCTTGCCAGGGATTAAAGATTTTATTTCTTTGCAAAAGGTTATAACGTGTGATTACAATTTTGATTTAAGTACAAAGAAAGCCAATATCATCCTGGGGTATTTCAGGTGACGAATTTTTATTTCGAGTTGCCCAAATGCTCATGCATGTTATTTGCTTTCTTTGTGCTTAACAATATTTTATTACGTAAACTACACATTGTATATTACACAGAGGAATAAAAATATTATTTTGATTTTGAATGTATATCTCGAACGTCTTGATTTTTAAAACATGTCTTTTATATACTGCGAGCCAGCAGTAAAGGTCGTCCCATTATCAAATATCATTAATCGAGGGCAGGAAATCCTGGCTGCAAAACTTCTAAAAATCTGCAAAAATATCAGTAAACAAATATACCTCTAGTGCTAAATGTTCAATAATCATTGCCAATTAACAGGCCAACTGTTCTGATAGTCTTGTTCAGTATTGTGGAGAGCCAACGGTACACCTTCTTGTCTTAATTGTTTGGTGGCTTCACTAATACCTTGTGTGGTAATTTACCAGGTAAATCATCTACAACTACTGCCTACAGTTAATTGTACTGAATCATAATGTTTGTCTTAGTCTGAGGTTCAAGCAGTGGATAAGTACCCATAACTGTTGGGATTTACTAAACTATTTTTTTTCCCAAATTTATTAGACCTCTCAACTGAAGTCTGTTCATGATGGTTCTTTAAAGCAGAGGTTGAATACAGGTTGACCAGTACTACTGTAAGTTGTACTAATTTTTGCAAACATATTCTAATCCCAGAACTAGAGAAACAACCTTCATGATATCTGGTATATATCCACTCTACAGTTTTATAATTAAGGTTCCCTTTGCAAAATATTACAGTACATGCAATCCAGTCACCTGCTGTTATATCATTATTATTACAAGAGGTTCACCTCCTTCGACATTTTTTCTAGCCATATTGTTAAGATTAATGTAAAAGTTAGTATGTTTTGGAAGATTAATGTAGAAGTTACTGTTTTTTTGGAAGATTAATGTAGAAGTTACCGTTTTTTGGAGGATTAATGTAAAAGTTACTATTTTTGGAAGATTAATGTAAAGGTTACTGATTTTTGGAAGATTAACGTAGAAGTTACTGCTTTTTTTTGGGGGGGGGGATTAATGTAAAAGTTACTGTTTTTGGAAGATTAATGTAGAAGTTACTGTTTTTGGAAGATTAATGTAGAAGTTACTGTTTTTGGAAGATTAATGTAGAAGTTACTGTTTTTTTTTGGGGGGGGGGAGATTAATGTAGAAGTTACTGTTTTGGGAAGAATAACGTAGAAGTTAGTTTTCTAGGGGGGTGTGATTAATGTAGAAGTTACTGTTTTGGGAAGAATAACGTAGAAGTTACTGTTTTTTAGGGGGGGGGAGATTAATGTAGAAGTTACTGTTTTGGGAAGAATAACGTAGAAGTTAGTTTTCTAGGGGGGGGTGATTAATGTAGAAGTTACTGTTTTGGGAAGAATAACGTAGAAGTTACTGTTTTTTAGGGGGGGGGGGAGATTAATGTAGAAGTTACTGTTTTGGGAAGATTTTTAGGGGGAGGGAGATTAATGTAGAAGTTGTTAGGTAAGACACATATGCAACAGTTAGGTATCTTTATTTCGAAACGTTTCGCCTACACAGTAGGCTTCTTCAGTCGAGTACAGAAAAGTTGATAGAAGCAGAAGAGACTTGAAGACGATGTAATCAGTCCATCACCCTTAAAGTTTTGAGGTGGTCAGTCCCTCAGTCTGGAGAAGAGCATCGTTCCATAGTCTGAAACAATGTGGAGTTGATACGATAGGACTCACAGGTAAGGACCCACGAGGGGCGAGGGGCAAGTGGGGACAGTGCGAAGAATAGACGGTGAGAGGAATGTCTTGAGTCGAAGAGAGAAGAGTCAGGACTAGACCCAACTGCTAAGCCTGGATAAACAATAACGAAGACGACGTAAAAGACAACAGGGACTCTGCGGGTGCTGACTGCAACTCACTGGAAGCATATCAACTTGCAATGACTGAATATGGTTCAGGGACAACTCCATATTGTTTCAGACTATGGAACGATGCTCTTCTCCAGACTGAGGGACTGACCACCTCAAAACTTTAAGGGTGATGGACTGATTACATCGTCTTCAAGTCTCTTCTGCTTGTATCAACTTTTCTGTACTCGACTGAAGAAGCCTACTGTGTAGGCGAAACGTTTCGAAATAAAGATACCTAACTGCTGCATATGTGTCTTACCTAACAACCTGTCGGTATTTTATACCATTTTAATGTTCAATGTAGAAGTTACTGTTTTTTGTAAGATTAACGTAGAAGTTACTGTTTTTTTTTGGGGGGGGGAGATTAATGTAGAAATTACTGTTTTTGGAAGATTAATGTAGAAGTTATTGTTTTTGAAAGATTAATGTAGAAGTTACTGTTTTTGGAAGATTAATGTAGAAGTTACTGTTTTTGGAAGATTAATGTAGAAGTTACTGTTTTTGGAAGATTAATGTAGAAGTTACTGTTTTTGGAAGATTAATGTAGAAGTTACTGTTTTTGAAAGATTAATGTAGAAGTTACTGTTTTTGGAAGTTAAGTGTATTTCTCATTCCCATTATTCATTATTTGAATAACAGAAGTATGTGAAATTTAATATAAGCTATAACACTTAATTCAGTGTAAAAACAAATATTTGATTACATGGCAACGGACATTATATTTAAATAGACATACATAAATAATAAATGTTGTACACTGTTGGAGCTCATTTAAGCTAATACACAGTAATCATATACACAAATAAATTCACATTTCCTTAATGTGTGCAATTTCAATATCCTAATCTATGATTTACACAGTCCAGATGCCTAGTATAACTGTTGTTATGTATTATACCAACAGTTCTTGGACAGTTTAACAAATATACTCGAAATAAAGGCATAAATGTAATTATACCATGTGCAATAATATGAACAATATTAATATCAGTTTACAAGGTTATTCATAAAGATTCTGAGATTGTGTAATAAATGTTGGCGATAACCAAATTTAATTATTATAATAATCGGGGAGCGCTAAACCTGTAGGATTATACAGCGCCTGAGGGGGGATGGAAGGTATTCAGGCCCAATTCAGGGAACCGGAGCACAGATCTAATTCCCTAGATCAAGAGCCCCTCACCAGCGTTAATTAAGGAACCTCCCTTGAGGGGAACCAAATTTCAGTGCTTGGATGAAAACTAAAATTTACAAGGATACACTTAGTGTATCTTCTGGTTAGCGATGTTCTGGCTAGAAATTCCCTCCCAGGATATATCCTTTATACCTATCTTTGGTAAGATCTTACTTCATGGGAAAAACAGTGAATGAAGACAAGTACTTTCCTGGAGTTGAATTAGAGAGATGTAGTCATGGAATTGGATGAAGACTGAATAACAGTGGATTCTGATGCCTCTGTTCTGGTATATTCATGGTTATGCTATTCCTCTTCTCGTGTTAATTGTCCGCAAACAGTTTAATAAAGCGGGAAGAACGTTTAGAGCACTGAAAGCCTTTAAATAAGCCAGATTCAACACCCGATCTGACCAGGTGTTACCGCAACAAAGTGTGGTTCTCTACTAGCCCTGGAGGCTGAATTATGGCGTGAGCCACGCCTCACCTTGCTTCTCCACGCCTCGCCTTGCTTCTCCACGCCTCGCCTTGCTTCTCCACGCCTCGCCTCGCTTCTCCACGCCTCGACTCGCTTCTCCACGCCTCGCCTTGCTTCTCCACGCCTCGCCTTGCTTCTCCACGCCTCGCCTCGCTTCTCCACGCCTCGCCTCGCTTCACGCCTCGCCTCGCTTCTCCACGCCTCTCCTCGCTTCTCCACGCTTCGCCTCGCTTCTCCACGCTTCGCCTCACTTCTCCACGCTTGGCCTCACTTGGCCAAGCCTCTAGTGGCTTTGCCACTCCTCGCCTCGCCTCTCGCCTCGCCACGCCTGGCAACTCGTAGCCTCTGATATTAATTATTAAATATTTTGCTCATTGGTTCATGGAATTCCCGTTTCCTTTTTTGTAAACTAATATCAAATCATAATTAACAAATCTACTGAAAAATTAAGAGTGGTAGAAGCATAAATGTAAATAAATCATAATGTAGTTTAATCATCAGGTTAGGACAATAAATGCCTTATTCCTATGGCGGACACGAAAACGTCTTCTTACAAGCTTGCTTAAATTCATCAATTCGTGACGTATTTTATTTACCTTAATTTTTAAAGGTTTGGACTGGCAAGCCAGTGGAAGGCCTCAGTCAGATGACCAAAAGCTCCAGCTGCGGGTCATGCGACTTAAGACCCACGTCAGAAAAACTTGTCCTGTTTCCTGGCAAACTTTACCTAACCTAGTGACGTAAATATGGTCTTACATTGTATAAATGTAATTTGATTAATTATCCCATAGAAATTATGAAGTAGTGAACTTTTCTTTAATTGAGTACACTTTAATAATTAGTTATTAATGAACAATAAAATGAAAAATGTTAAATATTTTTCACAGGATGCAACATGAAAGTTTCCGTGGCTGTTGTTGTTATAATATTCGTCAGGAGACATGTTGTCTCCTGACACGATGTTAATTATATTGATGACCCGTAAGTAGATATTCTGGGGCTGTGGTAAAGTAAGGTTAGGTAAGATTTGTCAGGAAACAGGACAAGTGTTTCCTGACGTGGGTTTTAGTCATATGATGACCCGCCACTGGAGCTTTTGGTGATCTGACCGAGGCTTTCCACTGGTTTACCGCCTCCCCCCCATTAACCATTTTAATTATTACCCTTGTAATAAGGAACAGTAAGGTCACAGATAGTGCTGACACAGGTGGTAACAGAAGTACTTTTTGTGGAGTCTTCCAAAGTTCGAATTAATGTATAATGATAATTTTAAATCAAGATCTCAAGTCATTGGAGGTAAATTAGAAGTCGTCATGACTAGGTTGAGCAGTGTTGCTCATGCACTGCTAATATAACTCTCTGGGTATATACAATAAGTATAGTGTTGTATTAAGTTTCCAACAGAAGTACATTTATTCACCACCCCAGACCTTCGCTTCCTTGAATCGAACCTTATTACTTACCATTTCTTCAGTTACTGCACGAACCCTACGGGTTAATGCTCCCTCCCTCTCCTAAAGACTGTATGTAATAACATTGTTTCCAAGTAGACGATATTTGAAGATTACCAAACAATGTTGAATAGTAATAGATCAAAAGAAATGTTTATTTTCTTCGCACGTACACACACACAATATGTTATACATTCATGTCTTCTTTGTACTTGCATGTAAATAAACCAACTGAGAGGTAAATCATACACACTAGGATACTGCTGAAGAAGATCTTTATTTGCATGTCTCTGTTTACACTTCACCATCTGAAGATCATTGTGGTGTCACCTTCAGTGATATGTGAAGCAGAAGCATATATAACTCAAGGCCAGGGAAAAAATGTGCTCTCAGGCTAATAAAATGCTCGTATATTTTTCTTTAGTTCATCAATCAGTTTCATGATGATAATTCAAAACTATCGACCCACAACCATTATGTTAATACCACAAACACCAAGACTTATCATAATTATTTTGTTATCTTTGATCAGAGATATGGGGGCTCATGGGAAGGTTACTCGCTGAAAACTGACCGCCCGAGAAAATAAGTAAATAACAAAAACGCTAACAGTATTGAAGCCACTTCTGTTGCTGTTAAGTTTTATGGTACTTAGTTTCATCTTCAGAAGCAGCACAAGATGAACATCCCCATAGCCATATCTCCAAGCTTTCAAGATCCATTTTACATTTTTTTTTATTTTTTAGTTGCAAAAGCTAATGAGGCTCTAGAAAGTAACCATTTTCTACGCATGGAGGCTGCTGTACTTTAAAAGAAAACTAACCAAGATTGAGATATCCAGTAACTTGCGTGTAGTCGTCGCCTTTGTGAATTATGGCGATGGTAACCGTGATTTATACGTTTGCTTTGTCGTTTTCATTGTAATTTCGGAGAAGTGGGGTCTTGTGAGAGGCTTGTGGACACCATTCTCGGGTTCTGTCAAGGATACCGATTGTTTCATTCTCCCTCCGATAGCAACAGGCAAGTGGAAACCGTAAAGCCACCACATATCAAGATGGTTTTATTTTGAAGAATATAAAGGCACAATACCGCAAGTTCAACAATACACAAATAACTCGCACATGCGAGACTGACGGTTCGGTCAGACTTGTGCCATAAACTAATCACACCATTAACTTGTTTCCTATGTGCAGGTTATTTGTGTACAGTGTGTGGCTTTATTGTCTTCATCACTGTTCTTATGCAGTGCAGACAATGGAACATCGTCTTTCCCTGTGCAGTTGTTTAGGTCTATGGAATGTGTTGGTGATTTTAAATTATTTCTCGAATCTTCAACCACAGGCCCCTTCGAGCAAATCGTAACAATACTCTTTACGGAGAAGTGAATTTGGTGTTTAAACAGTATATATTCTTAAAAATACTGCGTGGTTACCTTTTATTTGAAGGTTGTTGATAGTATACTTCTTTACTGTTCAACATTTAGTAACAGTAAAATTACAAGTGATTTCTTTCACTCAGCATATCATTCAGCCGTCCATGGCTCACAAACGGAGGAGGAGCAGTAAGTAGTTATGCCTGTGGGAAGTGATTCTGCCTTGAGTCACAACAGTAGAAGATGAAATTCATCCTTATTATTGTACACGTGTGCTTTCCCTGAGCACATGTAGCATTCTTTCTCCCTCCCCCCCTCAATAACTCGGCATTCTTCTAGTCTCTCGCCCACCACGCCTCATGTCGCTGGTCAGCCCCACAACTCAAGCGTGGTTCTTATATTAGTTTGTGTTTGTTTGGACAGCTTCCACACAAAAGTAACTTCTCCCGCGGCACTGGTTCTATCTTTTGTCATTTTGCTTCCCTTAGAGAGATCTTATTTATTCTTTGAGGTAAGTCCTATTCCAGTGAGATTTTCTACATGTGCTCTCACGCTCTTTCAATAATTTTTTATCTGTAGTTTACGCGTTCGCTACCTCCAAATGCACGCTTTGGTTTCACACGTATCTGTCTCAACATAACGAAGGGCGGAGGGTAAGAAGGAAGAGGTTTAGAAGAGAGAAATCTAGTCTCGGATGGTTAACTTGCGGGACCCCGTAACGTCATGGAGCTGGTGAGAGGAAAAGGAGGCCACTAGGCGGTGGTCACCAGACTTGCGAGGCACGAAGGTCTGGCTGTAAGTGAAGGTTTCCCTTGGACGGACCTCACGATTCACCCTGATGGTCCTGGGCCTGTAGGCGCCTCCGATCTCCATGCTGAAGAAGCAGTCTGTGAGAGGCACGTCTAGTGGGTTGCTGAAGGTGAAGGTGGCTGTGCACTCCTGTCCCACCTGGCACTCGGGCACCTGGAGAGGGATACACAGGTAAGGGTGTGGTCAGACGCCGTACGCATGAAAAGAAGCAAGAACACATAAGCAAGCAAGATATAAGGAAATTTACAACATGAGTAGGGGTGGCTTTTTTAAGTGTATAAACTACAGGCTATGATGGCTTGCATATGAAGTGTTTTTAATAAAGATTTCGAGAGTAAATACATGTCAAAAAAAAAAAAAAAGACAAATTTACTTGCTGCATTACCTCGATGATTAACTTGGGTTTTTCAAACTGGAAGTCGAACTCATCGATGTAAGACTGTTTGTTCTCGGAGACGTGACCTGTAGCGGTGATCTTAATGAAGCCCATATCAACGAGGCGGTCCTGGTACTCGGAGGCGTCCACTTTGAGGGTGAGAGTGTCCTTCTGGCCCCCGGCGAGGGTGAACTGTCCCGTCACCCTCTTGAGGTGCGTCCCCAACACCCCGGTATAGAAAAAGCTCCTGCAAGGGATAGGGCGACCATGATGACAAAAGTGATTTACGGAAAACGTATGAATTCCTCTGAGAATTAGGGTAACAGATAACTTAGGGGGTGTGTTGATGACTAAAAAACCTGTGCCACACCTGAGTATCTTTAATGAGAGACATTTCTGAAACTATCATTAGATTTCTAATGATACTTATCAGACACAGCAACACCATGGGATCTTAGTACTGAGAATATCTAACACTGGTAAACCTCTGGCTTACATTATGGACATGACCTACTTCCACTATTGGGCCTCATCTTCAGTTGCGCCATCTCATCATTTCTCTTCCACTGGCTACAATATGTAAGTCTGTATTAGAAGAACCTGCTGCGCAGGTGTATGACTCTCAGTGAAAATATAAAGGTGTTGCCCGTGTGTCTTGCTGGTATTATACTTTTGATTTAATGATACTAGGGGTGTGTATAAGAGAGAATGTTAAGCAAAAAATTAGTGCAGTTATTGCTGGGGAAGCGGGGCTAAAGGAGAGCTATAAGGCGGATTAAGTATTAAAGAATAATTAGTTTTATATTTATCAATAACATCAGAATTGAAAAAGGAAATTGGAATACATAAATTTAAACACTAGCTTTGGTAATATGGAGGAAGAGCCAAACTCAGGTTGACGAAGATTTAAGAGGAAGAAGAGGAAAATGAGGATGTGTAGCACAAGAAGGCGGATATACCTGGTGGAGATGTTAGCCTGGACGGTGCGAGTCTCAGAAGTGTTGTTGTGGACCTGAAGGGTAACGGTGATGCTCTGGCCGGCGCTCACTTGCTTCGGCTCCTGCAACTCGAACTCAACGTCGTAGCTCCCCTGATCCTGTTTGGAGGTGTTGGTGGTATTAGAGGGTGTTGCTATGGGAGGACAAGGGGACGGAAGTAACTATTAATGATTGAGTTAAAAGTTCTCCTGAACGTATTATTCCAGAATGTGTGAATGACTGTACTGTAGGTCGTTCTCCGGAGGGACACGTATGTATCATCCTCTGGGTTAGTTGGTGTTTTGTTCATTATAATGTGTTTGTCAATTTTTGCATTCACCTAAAGTTTACTTTGTATGTGCTTCAATTAGGAATTTCTGCCATTTTTATTATTTAATAACTGAGGTGTATATAATTTTTGTTTAGTTTTTACTTTACCATCTTGTGTGCTCTTAAAGGTTATAATTTTGTGTTCCATATTACTTTGTTAAAGGTCTAAAAGTGGGTCTTCCTCTCAAAGATATAAAAATTTAATCCAAGCAGTGATCGGGGATTGATATTATAAAATTGATATAAATTTTTTAAGGGTGGACCGATAAGCCAATGGAAGGCCTCGGTCAGATGACCAAAAGCTGCAGTGGTGGGTCATTGTAAGACCAAGACCCGCGTCAGGAAACAATTGTCCTATTTCCTGACAAAATTACCTAACAAATTACTAACCTAGCAGTGATCTCAGTTTTTTATTTGAACTTTCAAAAATTTTGATTTTGTGTATTATTGAATTTATTAGTATTATGGTATAGGATAATTGGTTCAGTTTTCCTTATAGATTACATTCAAATCTAATTAAACCTAAATACAGAATTATGGATAAATTCGCTTAAAATGTCAAGCGAGAAATAACATGCTAGGTTACATACAGTGAAAGAGAGATGGAAATTGATCGATCGGAGGGTCAAGGCAGTAGAATGAACTGTATTATTTGGGGAGGGAGGGAGACGTAGGGCAATGTTGTTTTACGAGGAAGTGGCAAAGGAGAGAGGCGTGCAAGGAGGGTGTCGTGTGTGGAAAGTTGAGGTATTTACTTTTTTGGAGAAACCATTTTATCATTGCTTCTCTGCTCTCTAAAGTTCTCTGCTCCGTTTACTTCAGATGGATCACCTCAACTGCACACTTCCTTCACCTCTCCTTGACTCGTCATCTCCTTCTTGCACTTCCCTCTCATTTATCTCATTTCTACCCTCTTTTAACTCTCGTCACCTTTTCCTGATGAGGACCTCTTTCTGATGCATCTTATCTCCTGATGCTTCTATTAGAGTCGTCTCACTCACCTGATAGTCGAAGTAGACGTGATCTTTCCTCATGCCCCTGCAGGCGTTGAAGACTGTGAATCTCTCAGGCTCTGAGCGCTCCAGGTCCCGGTACACCTTGGTGACGTCCTCGCAATCTGCGTCACCGTCGTCATCGTGACGCCCCACAGCCTTCGTCACGACGGAGCGACACACAGGCAACCTGAAATTGGCGTGAAGGAGGGACGTAGGTAAGGTTAGGTAAGGTTAGGTAAGGTTTGTCAGGAAACAGGACAAGAATTTCCTGACGTGGGTCTTAGTCATAGGTTGGTCTGCAGCTGGAGCTTTTGGTCATCTGACCGATGCCTTCTACTGGCTTACCCGTTCACCCCTTTAAAAATTATGATTATCATTATTGATAAACATAGGAGAGATGTAGTAGTGAGTCCACTAGATCAGAAATAAGTCACAATGTGACTTGATTAGGTTATCCTAGGTTAAATTAACTTCATGTTCTTTTATTTGTCTATAAAATCTGTCTTCAAAACCATTCTTAAACATTTGTATGTTATGTACACTAGGCTTATTACTGTACATACTTTCTTAAAAGCTGGTCAGTGTTACTTAGCGAATTTTTTTACTGATTTTGGGCTGTGTAGGTCCCAGTTTGTCTTTTGTTTTGTAAAAAATCTGAATAATTGAAATACTACCTTTCATGCCATAATGTATGAGTCTCGCATCTGATTAGCATCAACCCTTCCATGCTGATAAGTCGACAGTTCAATATCTGAGAGGTTTCAAGCTTAATGTGGTTGTGTATTTTTGTATATCCATCTCTTTGATCCCCTCTGAAAGATTCAAATTAGATTTGGTCTGTGCATGTCTAAATTTACCATTTTTATTGAAGAAATTTGGTTATTAGTTTCCATATGATGACTTATGAATGCCTCTTTCTGATTCCTTCAGGTCTTCAAAGCTAATATTCAACTGCCTTGTCGCACTCTGATTTTTTGTAATCGTGTGCGCTTAGGCACAGGGGACTTGGGTTATGAAATACATCTTGTTTTATAGCGCTATCTACACTAGGCGTTTCGGTAAGCTGCTTTGACCTCTTGAGTGAGTTATACGATTTGTTTGAGATAAGCTGTGTGTGCTCAAGACTCATGAGTGCCCAGTAGAAGCTCTCTAGTGCTGCATGTAAAGAGTGTAGCCCAACTCACATGTACTGTATGTATGATGTGTAGTCCAACACACCCGTCATGCATGAAAGGGGTGTAGGCCCACTCACATTTGCTGTACGTAAGGGGTGCAGTTCCACTCACCTGTGCTGCATATACGGGGTGTAGCCCCACTCGGATTCGTCGTCCTCGTAGTAGTATCTGACGAAGGTGTTGAGGGCAGAGAAGAAGGCGCTGGTGCTTTGGGAGAACCCGACATCTCCTCTCTTCACAGCCTCCGTCGAGGAGGGACCACACCCACTGGAGAACTCTGCACCAAGGAAGACATAAGAAGAGAAGTTGAACCGTCAGAAGGTGAGTGAACAGAAGCAGGGTTCCAACCCCACCCGTGGTATGGATTGTTTGCAATCCTGTCATTACGATTTCGTGAGTCAGGTAACCAGTCATGGTGATTGTGGTGGATAGAAATGAGACTGTTTGGATGTAATCATCATAATAATAATAATGAACAATTCTGTAAGCAACGGAAATCAATTGATCAAACAGATTTTTGTCTCGAATTTCAAAGTATGTTAAATCGAGGTCTGGATGTCCAGTAGATGATTTGCGAGTCGCCAATCTAAAGCTATTTTACATGTGCTTTTTTGGGGGGGGGGGCTTATATCTCTTAAACAAGCAACTGGATGTGTGAAGAGCAATGCTGACGAATAAATACCTGGAAAATAACAGCTTCCTCATTCAGTACATCGAATATACTAAATGAGAGAGCCGGAGCCTCGAGTGAGTCGTTGTAATACATAAGAACATAAGAAAGAAGGAACACTGCGGCAGGCCTACTGGCCCATGCGAGGCAGGTCCAATTCTCCTACTGGCTTAAGCCAATGCCCTAACCCAGTCAGGTAGGATCATATTCATCTGACCTAATAGCACAAGCTAATCAGGTCCAGCTCACACCCACTCACGTATTCATCTAAACTATTTTTAAAACTATCCAACGTCTTAGCTTCTATGACGATACTTGGGAGTTTGTTCCACTCATCCACAACTCTATTACCAAACCAGTGCTTTTCCAACTCGAAACCATTGCTGCGAGTCCTGTCTTGGCTGGAATTTTTCAGCACGCTATTTACATCCCCTTTATTTATTCCTGTTTTCCATTTATACACCTCGATAATATCCCCCCTAATTCTACGCCTTTCGAGTGAGTGCAGATTCAGGGCCCTCAGTCTATCCTCATAGGGAAGATTTCTGATACATGGGATCATCTTTGTCATCCTCCTCTGCACGTTCTCCAGAGCATTTATATCCATTCTGTAATATGGTGACCAGAACTGAGCAGCATAGTCTAAATGAGGCCTAACCAAGGATATATAGAGTTGAAGAACAACCTGAGGACTTCTATTATTTATACTTCTAGATATGAAGCCAAGAATTCTGTTAGCTGTATTGCGAACACTAATGCACTGTTGTCTTGGTTTTAGATTACTGCTAACCAGAACTCCTAAATCCTTTTCGCAATCAGTAGTATTAAGATCTACATTATTTAGTTTATATGTCGCATGGTTATTTTCCTGTCCAACATTTAAAACTTTGCATGTGTCTATATTAAACTGCATCTGCCACTTCTCCGACCATTGCATCAGTCTATTCAAATCATCCTGGAGTGCTCTAATGTCCTCATTAGAATGAATGAATTGGACGGCCAATTTTGGTGTTATCAGCAAATTTCCTTATGTCGCTTATCTATGTCGTTTATGTAAACTGTTAACAAAAAGGGGCCCAACACTGACCCCTGTGGAACACCGCTTGTGACGTGCCCCCATTCTGATTTCTTCTCATTATGCAAACCCTCTGCTGCCTATTTGTCAACCATGCCTCTACCCAGGAAAAAGTTTCTCCTATTCCGTGCGCCTTAAGTATCGAACAAAAGAAAGACAGTCTGCTTGGTATTATTCATCAAGGATGGCAACAGCCCAGAAGCCTTAACCTTCAGGTCAGCATCCCTACCATGCCAGGTGATGCAAATGATGGCATAACAGAAAGGAATTTGTAGAATCTAATGAAGCTATCAAAATTTTACGAGACTGACAGATCAAACAGTAAGATATTGACGTGGTTGATGGAGAGTGTATTAGGTATCCTCGCAAGAGGAACTAAATTTAAGTGGTTGCAAGAACTGTTTTCCCATTTTTTTTGGGGGGTTCCTAAAGCCTTTCGTTTTTATTTTGCTCGCAAGGCGGCAAAGCCTCGTCCGATTCGTTTCAAATTTTTAATCCTGGTCAACTTAGTGAAGATTCCTGGAACAATTGCCAAGTGCAGGTATCCGCTGCTCAGTTTAATATACACCATTTCTTACATTGGTTTCACAATATAACTTGTGATCAGCCTCAGTTTCATCATTACTGATGTGTTATACTTTGACAAAGGCTGGTGTAGTTAATGGAGTGTGTAGCTGCCATTTGGCCACTTTCAGTCTCGGCATTATTTTGCCGTTATGCTGGTGAGTGGCTCTTGATCCAAGGACATAGATCGAATCCACAGGTGCAACATGACCCCCTACTGGTTTTGCGATTTCCCCCTGGTTAAAATAAAAACGATTCTGAACAGCATCAGTCTTTAGTGTCCACTTCATTTTATGAAATGAATGAAATGTTTCACGGGGTTTAGGCTGTGTTGGTGCGCATTTTGTTGGATTCTGTGCAATAACAGTCGAATGTCTCTTATGGTCAGTAATCTTTGTTACTACTGTTTGTTACAAAGGAAGCCTCGTCTTTATCGTAGGTTAAGTTTCAATGTGATAATTTTAGGTTATCCTTCGTTAAATCTACATAATGTGCTTTTATGTATACAGAACATGTGTGTATCCTCGGGACTTTGTAAAAACAAATATGCTATGTACTCAAAGTTTAAATAAAAAAGTACTTAATTACTTTCTAATATTCATACTTCTTACCTAAATCTTACAAGCTGATCAATCGTACGTAAAGAAAAGTTTGGATTGATTTTGGTATTTGTAGGTCCCAATTTGCTCTTTTTCATAGAAGTAACCGGGGAAATTGAAATACTGATATTTTTGCGATAAATTCTGACTCGTCGGACTGGCTTGAACCTTCAGTGCTCATAAATTGATAATGCAAATTCTGATCTGCTTTGAACTTAATGTGCTGGTGTATTTCAGGATGTTGGTGTCTGGGAGATAACAAGAGAATGCCTCTTCAGCTTGGCTTCAAAGTTAATGCTTCTTAGTTGATGGTTTGCATTAATTTAGGGTTGTTTGTGTTTATTTATCATTTGAATGAAAAAATGGGAATAGCGTCCATGTGATAACTTGTATATATCTCTTGATTTGCTTCAGATCTTCAACACTAATATTTAACTGCATCAGAAACTTATGCCACATCCTGCACTGTTATTCCTGTTGCATACATTAACGTGCAGCGACCGAAATACATCTAATTATTTAGGTTTTTGAGAGTGTGTACCACTAAAAACTATTTAAAGAGTATTTAAAAGATATAAGACAGAATCATAATCAGATGTAAGACAGAATCATAATCAGATGTAAGACAGAATCGTAATCAGGTAAGAAGCATCACGTTGTGCAAAAAAATTAAGAGCTATGTTAACCCAGGATCATCCTAGGATCCCATGACGTTTATGATACATGGAAACGATTTCCCCCAAAACTTGTTTGTTGATGTTGCGAAGCTGATGAAAATGACAGAAACAGGAAGAAACTGAAGAATCACTTGGGGAAAAAATGCAAGAATAGCTAAAGAAATCATTTGTAAAGTTTAATCCCAATAAATGTAAAATAATAAAAAAAAGAAAGTAAGATAGATGATAGCATACCACCTGAGTGGGAAAATCTTGTTTTGCAAAAAAAATAAAAAAAAAAAACACCTGTGGGCAGGTATTATGTCCAACCTTTTTCTTAGGCTTTCCCATATATCTGGTATCATCAGCTTCTTAGGCACGATAGGCAAAGGTAATAACTGTTTTCAGGAAACTAATCGACGAATTGCTGATAACTGTAATTCACATCTATCAGGATGCTGTACCTAGTCCAGATGATTGTAGCTAGACCGATCCTGACGCTGATGGTCACGCTAGCAGAGAGCTTGAAGATGTGCCACACGTTATTGGTAGAGCGAAGGATCAGAATGAAAGTGATCACGACGTTTTTTTAAAGAGACTTACAAGTGCTAACATACATGGGACCATAACAAGTTTCCATACATTTAAGTTTATATCTAATGATCCATAGCTATGTTAGAAGTATTTCGTTAGTCTGTTGGGAGTAAGAAAACTGAATGAGGTAAAGGAGAGCCTAGTGCACAACTATGCTAGTTGACTGATAGATGGCACTCGTTAGGAAGGCACAAACAGCTTGTACTCACTGAAGTGGTAGGCGCGAGATGGATCTGTCGTCTGCCATCCAGAATAGCCTGAGGGAAGATCTGGACGAGACATCCAAACATCGCACCAGGTATGGAAGGCCCACAGAGAGTCTGGCTGGTCGCGTCCAGGACCCCGCTCGATCTGCCAGAAGTAATAACTCAGCCCCACTTCGAAGTCAAGTTTCACAAGTTATCTGATCTCTCCTCCTCTTCACCCCCACCCCATATCAAATTTCAATTTTACCATTCTAGGTAATTCACTGCGCTAACCCATCCAGTAGAACTGCATCCCTTTGATCTTTCTTTCCAAAGAGACAAAGTCAAATTCACATCTTTATCCCTTTTAGTGTTACCTATTTCTTTCAAGAGTATCCTTGCCAACTTCACTGCGCAGGTCATTCCAGACCACTATATCCCTCTATTTGATCAACTTACCAGGTCACCAAAGCGGTCGATGTATCGGTCGATGGTGAGTGTTTCTTGTGTCTCATGGGCGGCGGTGAGGGCGGTAGTGGGTCGGGCAGGCAAACCCAGGGCACGGCACACTGTGGGCGTTGCAAGGATTAGTCCATTGCCATGGTTGTGTGGAAATCAGCGTTATACTGTGGGCGTGTTGACTTTGAGTGCATGCGTGGGTAGTGGAGTGTGTGGTGGATAGAGCGTGTCGGTGTTGGCCGTAGAGTGCGAATGTGTTAGTAGTAGTATCGTGGACGTAAGAGAACCCTGCAAAAGCTCTTCTATTAACAAATATCCGAATTGATCAACACAAGAGAAAATGTCACTACAAATGATATTTAACAATTAAAGAGAACACAAAGCCTATTTTTCATGGCATTTGCTTGCGCACCTTCCCACTCGCTCCGTCGCTCCTTATTCTCTGTCACTACCCTTCCTATTACTCTCTCATTTACACCCTTTCTCTCTCCAGCCTCCCTCCCTTTCCCTGTTCCCCACTCACCCGTCGTCATGAGGCAAGCCATCACCCAGCAGTGACCGTACTTGACGGGGGTGGCACCGTTCAAGAGGAACTCTTGGATGATCTTGACGGAGCCGGTCCACAGGTGGGGGTTCTGGCCCCCACGGTACTCGTCCTCGTAGTGGGGCTCCAAGAGTCCTTCCCAGTTCTCATCATCGTGGTCTCGACGCCTACGAGACGCCTGGATCTGTTGGAGGGAGAGGCGAGTGTTGCTGATATTGGTCAGGCTCTGTAGATCACTCATACTGTTGATTATTTCATGTCATCTCAGAAAGCTAAAAATTACAGAATTTTTAACTGCCAAGCAAGAAAGTTAACTTCATATTTTTTTACATTCAGGTTTTGAACTTTACTTTAAATTTTACGGACTTGGACTAAAATGTGACAAAAATATAAAATTTAAAATATGAATTGAAAAAAGCAGTAAGTTTCTTTATTTCCCCTTTCAGTTCTTCAAGTTATGCGCAGTTTACTTATTCATAACTTTATTTCTATATTTATGTTTCTAAAGTAGCCCAAACCTTAACGAGGTTGTACTAACCATGGAACTTAGAGCCTTGGCCACCTTGACAGGGTTGCCTCTCTCAGTGTGCGTGAGGCCAGACATCTCGAGCAGGAGACAAGCAGCAGGCAGGACGCAGTCATCGAACTGACCGAAGACCCAAGGTCGTCCTTGAGTGTTGCGGGAACCTCCACGGTACACCTTGCCGCTCTCGGTCATCACATACTCAGTACGCTGAGCCTCGTTCTCCAAGTACACTGCGTCCTCTGGTGGTGAATGAAGGGGGTGGTGAGGGAGGGTGTGGGAGATGGTAATGTTGAGGGAGTGTGTGAGAGATGGTAGTACTAGGTGAGGGAGGGTGTGAGAGATGGTAGTGGTGAGGGAGGGTGTGAGAGATGGTGGTGGTGAGGGAAGTGTGTGAGAGATGGTGGTGGTGAGGGAGGGTGTGAGAGATGGTGGTGGTGGCTGCTGCTCCTTTATAGACCAGGTGACTGTTTCTCATATACACTACACATAGATTATGTTAGGTTTGTCAGGAAACAGGACAAGTGTTTCCTGACGAACCTTACCTAACCTAACCCTCAGTGAAAAACTTCAGTAAGACTGACCTCTAGAGAAGGGGTTGAAGATGACGAAAACGTCCTCAGGAGCGCGGTACTGAGTCCTGTTCCTCGGGTAGTTCTTGGTTGCCGTCTCCACCACACAACGCCACACTCCCACCTGGCAGGTCGCGGGGATGTGTACCTGCCAGGAAGAGGAAGTCAAGCCAAGTCACTACAGGTCAAGAAATAAAAGGCCAGGGTTTGGATGGGGACAATTCAGGCCATCAAAGGTCAGGTTCATCAGAAAACAAAATCTTCCAACTGGCTAGAAGGCGATCAAGATCAAGCGATTGTATAACATCTACGAGTATAATTTGGTTCTGACAAAATATATATCGAGGGGAAAGTTCAAAGTATCAACGCCATTTATCAATACAAACCGGAAAAAATGGTTTCTTTGTTAAGTGATATTACTAATGTGGACTCTTAAGACCAACACATCACAGCCAAGTTTAAGACCAACACAACATAAGAAAGTTTAAGACCAACACAACATAACAAAGTTTAAGACCAACACAACATAACAAAGTTTAAGACCAACACAACATAACAAAGTTTAAGACCAACACAACATAACAAAGTTTAAGACCAACACAACATAACAAAGTTCAAGACCAACACAACATAACAAAGTTTAAGACCAACACAACATAACAAAGTTTAAGACCAACACAACATAACAAAGTTCAAGACCAACACAACATAACAAAGTTTAAGACCAACACAACATAACAAAGTTTAAGACCAACACAACATAACAAAGTTTAAGACCAACACAACATAACAAAGTTTAAGACCAATACAACACAACCAAGTTGAAGACCAACACAACATAACAAAGTTTAAGACCAACACAACATAACAAAGTTTAAGACCAACACAACATAAAGTTTAAGACCAACACAACATAACAAAGTTTAAGACCAACACAACATAAAGTTTAAGACCAACACAACATAAAGTTCAAGACCAACACAACATAAAGTTTAAGACCAACACAACATAAAGTTCAAGACCAACACAACATAAAGTTTAAGACCAACACAACATAAAGTTTAAGACCAACACAACAAACAAAGTTTAAGACCAACACAACAAACAAAGTTTAAGACCAACACTACATAACAAAGTTCAAGACCAACACAACATAAAGTTTAAGACCAACACATCATAACAACGGTGCTGGTGAACGGGGGTCACATTAAGTAAGATTACTGGTTAAAATTAGCATCAATGTATGGCATTACACACTAATAAGTTCGAGAAACCCTAATTAACGTAATTAGTGGGATGATCCGACTTAACCGGGACAATAAGGTCACAAAAAGTTACTTATTCAGACGTGATATTACGTGCGACTCTAAGAGGTGACGCAAGATGTTGCGTCAGCTGGTAGTGTGCGTTCACACACACACACGCACACACACACACACACACACACACACACACACACACACACATACGGGTGTGTGTGTGTGTGTATGTGTGTGGCAGGATCCATACATAGATTTAAGAAGAGATATGAGAAAGCTCATGGAGCATTTAGAGGACCTAGTAGCATCCAGTGAAGAGGCGGGGCCGGGAGCTATGAATCGATCCCTGCAACCACAATTAGATGAGTACACACACACACACACCACCCTGATCCTGACACAGGGTTCTTGATCCACAGAATTGCAGTTACCCTTCACCTCCTCTAATCAAATCAGATTGCCTTTTATTCTCCAGGTACTGTGTGATCCCTACGGGTTTAGCAGTTCACCCTATATATAACAAAACACCACACAAACATATTTATGAAGTACACTTACTTCCTCACTCACCTCTACTATCTTACTGCCTCACTCACATCTATCTTACTGCCTCACTCACATCTACTATCTTACTGCCTCACTCACATCTACTATCTTACTGCCTCACTCACCTCTACTATCTTACTGCCTCACTCACATCTACTATCTTACTGCCTCACTCACCTCTACTATCTTACTGCCTCACTCACATCTACTATCTTACTGCCTCACTCACATCTACTATCTTACTGCCTCACTCACATCTACTATCTTACTGCCTCACTCACATCTACTATCTTACTACCTCACTTACCTCTACTATCTTACTGCCTCACTCACATCTACTATCTTACTGCCTCACTCACATCTACTATCTTACTGCCTCACTCACATCTACTATCTTACTGCCTCACTCACATCTACTATCTTACTGCCTCACTCACATCTACTATCTTACTGCCTCACTCACATCTACTATCTTACTGCCTCACTCACATCTACTATCTTACTGCCTCACTCACATCTACTATCTTACTGCCTCACTCACATCTACTATCTTACTGCCTCACTCACATCTACTATCTTACTGCCTCACTCACATCTACTATCTTACTACCTCACTTACCTCTACTATCTTACTGCCTCACTCACATCTACTATCTTACTGCCTCACTCACATCTACTATCTTACTGCCTCACTCACATCTACTATCTTACTACCTCACTTACCTCTACTATCTTACTGCCTCACTCACATCTACTATCTTACTGCCTCACTCACATCTACTATCTTACTGCCTCACTCACATCTACTATCTTACTACCTCACTTACCTCTACTATCTTCCTCACTCACCTTTGCTATCTTCCTTCCTCATTCACCACTACTATCTTACTTCCTCACTCACCTCTGCTATCTTCCTTCCTCATTCACCTCTACTATCTTCCTTCCTCATTCACCTCTCCTCTTTACACAGATCTATATTCATTTGTTTCAGTTATGCGCTTCGCTGTTTCTGTCCTCTATAGTGAAGCCTCAGAGTCAGTTCCTCTCAACCTGGTGTCTTGCTTCCATCTTTCTCTTTTTACTCTTCCTCATCGCTTCTCATTTCCTTGTTGCTCTTTCTTTCATCTTGTGTTGCAGTCTGGGAGAATTGTTTTCCTGTGTTTGTCTGTCTTGTCTTCTCTTCTTTCCCTCATTTGTAGTGTGAGGCTGTTCCCCTCCTCTCCCCTCTACCCACCTGTAGAGTGAGGGTGTTTCCCTCCTCTTCCTTCTACCCACCTGTAGTGTGAGGGTGTTTCCCTCCTCTTCCTTCTACCGACCTGTAGTGTGAGGGTGTTCCTCTCCTCTCCCCTCTACCCACCTGTAGTGTGAGGGTGTTTCCCTCCTCTTCCTTCTACCCACCTGTAGTGTGAGGGTGTTCCCCTCCTGCGCCTGGATACGGACGTCCCACTTCTGAGGGGTTCGTGTGAACTCCTTCTGGATGGTAACAGGCAGCACTACCCTCGTCCTCTTGGGCACTGATGGTTGTGGTCCGAAGTAAAAGTTGAGGTAGAGGTGGTCCCTGGTGCAGTCAAACTCCCTCTCGCGAGTCACCTGTTGGAGGAGATGCTGGTGAGATGTGTGAGGTGCGGATACTAGGAGGACTGGGAGGAAATGGATGGAGAAGAGGAGAGTGGGGTGGGGAGACTAGGAGGAAGGGGGTGGAGAGGAGGAGAGTGAGGTAGGGAGACGAGGAGATCTGGGAGTAAGAGGATAGAGAATGAAGTGGGGAGACGGAGGAAGAGAAGATACGTGTGGTGGGGAGACGGGGAGAGAAGAGGAGATATAGAAGGAACCAGAGAAAGAGTGAGATCACAGGAAGAAGGATAACAGGAAGAGATTTTCTTACATGATAAAGGGAGGTAGAACAGACAAAACACAAAAGGATATTCAAAATTAAAGTCGAAGATGTGGCCAGAAGCCGAACACGACGACCACACAAGAAACATTAATATTGATACGTTGTAACCTTAATGACTTTAGTTGTCATCCCAACGTGAACTCAAAACACCATTGCATTCTTAAAAGAAATATTAATACTCAAAGATATTTCCAAGTCCTAGGCAGCAATCATAACACTGGAATCAATACAAGCTTCTACTATCAATCCTTAGGCAGATCCCTACAGGCTCTTATTAATCTTAATATTCAATTATTAAAGATAGAAATTTTAGTGCTGAAATGTCCTGATCTGTAGATGAGTGTCTTTCAACCGTCCTGGCGTGAGACTTCAGCTCGTCTTGGTTCACGAATAAAAATTAAACTATGTGAAAACATTAGGGTTGGAATCCTTGTTCCAAACTCCCCTATTGAAACCATTATTTCCATAGTTTATTCTTGACTCCTCATTCCGCCTATGGTGCCAGCGCCTCTCCAGCACACTTTAACTCATGCTCCAGTGTGTAGGGAAAGGAGGAAATGCAGAACTAGCAGCAACAGTAAGTCTCCTTACCAAGGAGAGGTGGAAGGCTTGACCCCTGCGGTAGACGGGGCTGGGACGATCGAAGTCCTGGACGAGTTCATACTGGAAGGTGCGGTGGTCCTTGGCGTTCTCCTGGGGTCGGAAATCAACGTGTTCCACCCTCAGGATATCAGCTGGGACGCCAGTGTAGTGGGCTACGGGAGATAGTCAGCAGGTAAGTATGTCCACTGAGTGGTATGTTTACTTATTCAAAGTTTATTCTCTATAAGTATTACAATGCTGAGTTTACAGAATTTGGTTATTGTGTGGTTTACATGTAGTAAAATAATGATTACAGAGTGTACCACTAGAACACCTAGCATGGCTAGGCATTCACCTAAAAGAAAACATAGAATACAGAGGGAAGGCACATAACAAAAGACAGGGTAACGAGATATGCGGAGAGCACGCCAGGTATAGATACAATTTAGTAGTTAGGAGGTACTCTGCCTATAACTTTCATTCACGCAGAGAGTCAGGTCGCTCTCGAGTCCCTGGTTGTCTCTGCGTTCAAATCCCAACCTGAATCTGAGCCTTAAGTTACTTAACCTTGTGTTTGTTTTTTAAAGCTTTCCTATGATACTAAATAGGTACTCTGTTCAAACCCCTTCCGTTTCTCAGGCGCCGTATGATCCTCTCGGCTTTGGTGCTTTATCGTACATAAAATAATATTTAAAGGGTTTTAATCCTCTTATATAAATCCCTGGAATCCTGAAGCTCTACAGCTCACTCTCCACTTGTTCTGAGTTAACTTAAACCTTCCTAACACCTCTCAGATGGTGCTTACACTGGGAGGCGTAGTTTTGAGCTGGATCTGCAGGCATCTCGTTGTATCGTCGTCGCCAGATATCGTAGTACGCCCGCATTGCTGCGTCACGGGCGTAGTGCCTCTGACGCCCACGCCCGTACCTCCACTCATCCTCATATTCATGCTCCTGAAAGTGAAACGTTGAACGTGAGTGTGTGTGTGTGTTAGGGGACTTCAGAGGCATTATTTAAGTTTTGTCATTATTTTTTTCAAATACAGTACATTATAAGATTATAATTGCTCCCTCCCCCTCCCCACTGTGGTCTTGACCAGGTCTAGTGTCGTAGTGGACCATGAACACTAGGTACGATATAGTCTTGACGATTACGTTAAGACCACACTTAACGACCAGGTCTGCTGTGGTCTTTACGCCCAGGCTTGTCCGTCTCTCCACTTATAGGCTATCTGTAGTCGCTTCCGGGAATCACTGTATCAGCCCGGTCCCAGACCAGGCCTCCTGGTTGCTAGCCTGATCAGCCAGGCTACTGGTGCCCGTAGTCCAGCGTAGGAACTACAACCCAGCTGCTCAGGTACTGTATACAGAGAAGGGGGGGTAGCACCGAGTATGAATGGGAGGCACTAACATGACTGGGCGGGTAGGAGGGCCGTGGGAGAGAGAAGGGCGGGTAGCACTGAGTGTGTGGGAGGCAATAACATGACTGGGTGGGTAGGAGGGCCGTGGGAGAGAGAAGGGAGGGAAGCACTGAGTGTGTGGGAGGCACTAACATAACTAGGCGGGTAGGAGGGCCGTGGGAGAGAGAAGGGCGGCACAGGGGGTGGCAACTGCTGCTGCTGCTGCTGTTGCTGCTGCTGACTCGTCTTGCTACTCAGCGGATGCATCCTGCAATGAAAAAAAAAAATTCCAACATTCAGAAGACAGTTTTGCTATATGGGGTACATAATAAAACCTACGAGCATTTCTTAAACGAATGCAAAGGCACGTAATGGCTGCAGGATTGCACTCCAACATGACCTTCACGGCTACTACAACTAACCCATCTACTAACACCTATATAAGCGCCAGTCTCCTTGCCTGTGCTCCAGAATCTCTACAACTTTTTTTTTTTATATTTTATTTAAAACATTACAATACAAGGTGGAAATTATATTAAGGTACACAAATGAGGTAAATCACAAATTCCCAATTCACCCTTACAAAAATGAGTACAACAGACAAAAGTGTTGTGACAGCCTAATACCACACACCATATACACCCAGTTATACCAGAGTTATATACCTGTGAAGGCGGAAACTTTTGACGCAATTTCCCCCCCCCCCTCCCGCCAAATATAACCATTTTTTTTTTTATATTTTAAAATATAACCATTACGGTGCTCTCAACACCAACTCCAAGGCTGAGGGACTGATTACCTCATCTTTTGTATATAGCTCTACTGTCTTCTATGTCATAGAATCTGTATTGATAAAGCCACTGGATGGCGAAACGTCTACAATAAAGATAACCAGATGTTGCACATGTGTCTTAACTTTCATCTTGTCGGTATTGTATACCTGTCTTGCACACTTCATTCCGCTAGCAACGACATCACTGTATCGCTGAGATATTTACGAGAAAAAATGGGATCAGTTACAATAACAGTGAGCTGACTTTATTGACTCACATAAACATTACGATATGTTATAGAGACAAACTGGGCGAGGAACAGGGTAAAAAAGAATATTCATTAGGTTAAGGAAGTTATGGAGGTAATTTATCAATCAAGAATAATCTTGACTCAGCGAGACTACGGTGGTGAACACCTCCATCTAGGCTGAGGGACTGATTACCTCGTCTTCTACTGTCTCTTGTTTCAACACCTTCAAATACTGACTGATATATAGAATTGGTAAAGATACCGGCTAGCGATACGTCCCTGATCACAGAAACTCAGGTGTTGCACTAATGCCTTATTTATCAGTATTCAGGTTATCCTATTACACATCAGGCTTTAGTGGTGGTAATTTGATAGGAAATAACAGTGTCTCCTGGCAGAAGTCTTAATTATATGGTGACTCGCTTACTGTTTCATCAGCCGTTGCTTACCCAAACTAGGCTTTAATCCCCCATGTACGCGTAAAAATAACTCCGTAAGATAAGATGATACAATTACGTCCATCCTAAAGATAAATTCTCTGGCTATCCGTCAAAAGGTGGGTTGGTTAATTGGTTTTAAATCCTATCAACTACATGAGGGTTATTAAGCCTTCATGTAACCTGCTCATCACCAGGATACATTAATCCCCGGAGTGGGGATTAAAGTAAATTCTCAGTATATATACACTTAGACATGCATCTCTAGGTGTTTATTCCGTCTATACCATGCTTCTCTATTTTCCGAATATGTCTTAGATGACGAACCTTATCAAGAACCTTTGGACAGTCAAGGTATTTTAGATTTACAGCCGCTCTGGCGTCCTTCATTTTACAAATAATACTAAATATATGAATAAAATGAACACCTTTTCTGAAAGTTCTATTGTGATTTTTTTTAAATAACTAATGACCCTCGTTGACCTCTAATTATTGTTTATATGGTTGGCTGGTTAATGGGATTTAGAGTCTATTAACCACATAAAGTCACTATTAGCTACCAGTCAAAAATACTTTACTTACTAAAATAGGCGTTAAAGCAAATTCTCAGTGTACTATATACACTGAGAGACATACATCTCTCGTCGATAAACATGCTGTGCCAGAGAACTACTTCCTCTACATCATCGAGTGTGAACTGATCCCTACTCGACTCACGAAATCGTAATGACTCTGATCGCGGGTTCTAACCCCATCCATGGTATGGTTCGATCTCTCCTTGTGTACGATGGAAAGTAGATTTTGCAAACTTCTAATTACATTCGGTATATACTTTTCTTCTGTGTATTTCTTAATAACTTTTATCCATGTTTACTTTCAATTCACCTTTGGAAGAGGGTTAGAATCGCTTCCCCGTAGCCAAGCGGACTACAGAAGACTATTATAATGCTGGGACGAAGGGGCTGGTAACACCTTTTATTTACATGTATTTACTAAACATTAAAACAAATGTTATGTTTTCGTGTTTAGGTCATCCTACCTTGGTATGAACTAGCCCATGTCCTAAAATTTTTTTTTTTTACATGCATAGCCTAAAAAATATGAAGGAAAACGCAGATTATGAAAATTTATAAAATTTATGAAAAAAAAAAAAAAATATATATATACACCGTGAGCGCTTTAATCCTTAATTTAAGGATTAAAATATTCATGTCTGATGGTGAACAGATGACATCAATGATCTTCCTGGAGTTTATTAGGCTTTAAGTTCCACTAATCAAGTCACCAAAAAAAAGGCTAAACCCTTAAGAGTCATTCATCGATGTTATTTTGAAAAAGAATCGTTTATAATTTCTACTGATACTTTAATAGAGGAAAATAAAAGTTTTAAACTTCTGTAGCAAGAATATAAATTTGTCGTTTTTTTTCCTGATGTGCGGAGTAAAAATAAAATTCTAGTAATTCACGAAAATAAAAATAAAGTTTAAAAAAATACTAAGATAAGGTTTTACTGAGTGATTCAGAAAGGTCTGGTGCAAATTTTACGTACCTCGTCTCAGTTATTTTCTTTTCCAAGAGAATTTGAGGCAGATGAATAAGACAACACTTGAGTATCTCTGTTATGGAGACGTTTCGCCAAGCATTGCTTTATCAGTCCAATGCAGAGAATAATTACTGAAAACGGTGGAAGACGTGAAGTAGTTCCAGGTGATCAGTCCCTCAGCCTTGATAGAATCCAATCAAGGCTGAGGGACTGATCTCAAAAACCAAAAACTTCCTTAGTATCTACTATGCAAATAACCGAAGCAGAATAGATAAATTAAATAGACAAACTAATTATATGTGTAGGAAGCCTGGATGTTATTACAATAACCGAAACAAAGTTCAGTCTGAAAAAAGGGAGGCATACCTGACGAAGGCCACACACACACAGGGGCATAAATTATTCCATACTGGCAGAGTCAACACGAAAGGAGGCGCAGTTGCTATATATATGTTAGGGACAATTTAAACTGTTGCATCAGACCTGATATAAAGGTCTGATGCAACAGAACAGACATGGAATCTGTTTGGTTGCAGTTTCTTGAAGGTGTTATGTGGAGACCCTCAAACTTAGAAAGTGACCATGGTAAACTATGGGGTGAAACTGCCACGATATCTACATAAGAAAATGCAGTTTTAATGTGATATTTTAACTTGAGCCAAATTCTGCTGGACTTGATTGTGACAAAAATTCTCTGATAAATGATCTTGAGGTTAATGAAGAGCTGGGAGGAAGTGATCATAAATCACTTAGTTAAAATATCTCATGGAATCACCTTAATCGAGATAACAAAGTTAAAGTCCGCAGTTTTCCCGCTGCAGATTATATGTGATTAAAGGATTACTTAAGAAGTGTACACCGGGGTAACCTGACTAGGAACTATTTTGAGGGAGACCGGATAAAAGGTGGTGATAGCTGCCAATATGTATTGTGCAAGCTGACCAACCTGCGTTTGTTATTAACAGTGAATTTAGATCAAATATGAATGACCCTAAAGGGATAAACAATAGACTCAAACAAGGAAAGGTATTTACAGGCGAATCAAAAAAATATAAGGGTCCCCTTATTGAATAATATATTCAATTTAAGAGAGAAGTCAAGAATGAAATAAGGAAAGCTAAAAGAATATGAAATTAAGGTTGCGAGGCAGTCAGTCCCAATACTAAGGGTTTCTTTCATGTATATGGGAAAAAGATTAAGGAAAAATTGGCTCGCTTAAATGTAAGTCAGGTCAGCTTACTCTTAGCAAGAAATGTGCTTCGTTTTCAGTACTTATTTCTGTTTTTACACGAAAGAAGTAAACTAAATCCCCAAAATCAATAATGATACTTGTCAAGACGAGAATGAATTATGCAATATCAAGGTCACTAGTGACATGGTTCTCAAACAACTAGATAGATTGAAGATAAACAAGTCACTAAGCCCTGATGAGCTGTTTTCAAGGTTCTAAAGGAATGCAGGGATGAACTTCGAAATATCACTACAAACAGACATCTTACTGGATATATGGAAATTGACAAATATGATACCCATTTACAACGCTTCAAATTATAGGTCAGTCAACCTAACCTTAATTGTGGGAAAGTCGATGGAACCAATTATTGCAGATGCAATTCGAAGCCACTTTAAGTGATATAATTTGATCAAAGTGATATAATTTGATCAATGAATCTCAGCGGCGTTCTCGCCTTACAAATTTATTAATCTTTTTCGTTAAGATATTCGAGGCGGTAGACCGAGATAGTTCTAGAATACAGTATAGTGTATATGGACTTCAGTAATGTATTTGATAACGCTACAACACTGCAGACTGATTAAGACAGAAGAGGCACATGGAATACGATAAATTATACCAGGTCAAGGCATGACTGACCGATAGACAACAGTGCTAGCAATAATTGGGAAAAATCATAATGGGAACCGGTAACAAGTGGTGTGCCACAAGGGTCAATGTTGGGACCTGTGTTGTTCACATTCTACATAAACAACATTGATAAGGGAATAAACAGTGACATACGTAAGTCTGCCGATGACACTATGCAGGTCGTCAAATGATTTCTGGCGTAGACACTAGAAGGCTACAGGATGATTAGGATGGATTGATATTGTGGTTAGAGAAATGGCAGATGCAGTTCATTGTGGACAAGGTAAGGATCTAATACTAAGAAAAGGAAATAACTATGGCACTTATAAGCTAAACAATGAAGATCTTAGTCAAAGTGAATGCGAAAAATGTCTAGGCTTAGTTAAACTCTGCCTATCATGGGTTAGTAGGCCTACAAGAGGGTCCTTTCATTCTTAGCTGCTTCACGTCTTCCACCATCTTTATCGGACTGATAAGTAATAGCTGGCTAAAAGCCTTCATAACGAAGCCTTCCAGGTGGAAAAAATGGTATAAAATACCGACACCATGGATAAAGACTTGATAAAACAAACTGTATGGGCGAAACGTTGTCAATAAAGGATCGCATCATATTGCATTTGTGTCTTTATCCAAAGATTCCTAGGTGATGCATGGTTACGTTTAGGATACCCATAACTGCGGCAGTTTAAAATACCCCAAATTTGAAACAAGGGGAATAGTCTAGCTCGGACTAGGCTCTCCACCTCTAGCTCTGGCTAGGCTCTCCACCTCTAGCTCTGGCTAGGCTCTCCACCTCTAGCTCTGGCTAGGCTCGCCACCTCTAGCTCTGGCTAGGCTCTCCACCTCTAGCTCTGGCTAGGCTCGCCACCTCTAGCTCTGGCTAGGCTCGCCACCTCTAGCTCGGGCTAGGCTCTCCACCTCTAGCTCTGGCTAGGCTCGCCACCTCTAGCTCTGGCTAGGCTCGCCACCTCTAGCTCGGGCTAGGCTCTCCACCTCTAGCCCTGGCTAGGCTCTCCACCTCTAGCTCGGGCTAGGCTTTAAACTGTTTCGGGTCATTTGACAAACACCCAAGCCAGGAAATTACAGTTATTATTATATTCGAAAGCAAGCGCTAAACCCGTACAGTTGGAGATGATTGTCGTTTTTCCTGGCGAAGAAACCGTCACCACTTACGTACATATAAAAAATGATGGAAATAACTGAGGTTACGTTGAGAAAGTTACGGACTGTTAGGGAACATTACTAATCTTTGCCTACATTTTTCGGAAAGTTTGAAATGTTTAAAATGAACTTCAGCAACTGGGACACAACTGACAACTTCACTTGACTTGTTAACAAACATTCTGTGCACACTTCGGTTGAGTCATTGCGATGTTCTTGCGTAGACTAAACCACTCCGTGAAGTTAGCATCGTCAGTGTGGTTTAATACGTTCACTTAAGTTTCTTCTTAGTGTGTGTTTACATCTCCATTAATCACTAAGTTGTCACAAGGTTCGAGTCCTCTCCTAGACTCGACTGTTGCAAGTTTTCCTCACCTGATGACCAGAGGTGCGTTTGCCAGCGACGGACGATGGAGTGTGGGTTGGGTGGTGAAGGCACTTGGCTACGTGGGCACCTCAACAAATCCGGCTTGGGTTATATACACGATGTTCCGGCTGGTGGATGAGGATTAGTTACGCAAGGAGGACGGGTTGTCGCCTGACAATAGTTACCCCTCGTGTCTCCCAGTACTCAACAATTACATTATAGTACGAAAGTTTAAATGGTTCACGAAACTGTATTCCAAAGTGATGATGATGAATTATTTGCATAGCATAAATCTGAGAAAATAAATGATATATAAATGACTATACTCGCATCAGGCATCGTCCTCAACCAACCGGTTTCTTACAAAGAAGTTGTTGAACCTGGATCGTATTTTGTGAGGAGCCATACCACAGGCCAAGCAATTTGCAACAGTATACAAAGGATAATATATATATATATATATATATATATATATATATATATATATATATATATATATATATATATATATATATATATCACTCAGCCATCAATGTCACAGACATCAGGTGCTCAGTACTACTGGACATGTCACTCCTCATGTGCACACATACGTGGCTTTGGAAACTACAGGATCAATTTGATTCTCCTCCCGTTTGGAATTCTTAGCTAGTGGTTCGGATAATGCTTCTACTCCCTCTCGCAGAATCTATGGTGACACCTTGGCAGGTCCTATAGCTTTTCATGTCTGTAGGTCCATCAAAAGTTTTTTTTTTTTTTTTTTCTTCCAGCGTTATGTGCACGGTGTCCAGTACCTGCCAGTGTACTCTTTTTCTTAGGCTTCCTAGCAATGCTAATGTTTCTACTGAGAAGACCTCTTTAAATCGTTTGTGCAGCACTTTGCATACTTGTGATTTTTCAGTAAGCTCCTCCTTTCTTCAGTCGAGTCACCTGGTCTTTTCTGTTATCTTTCTTCTTATGTGGCTGTGAAGCATTTTTTTGTTTAGACTGATATTCTGGAACTCTCGCTCAGCCTCTCTCTTCATCCTATCATATGAGTTTCTCTTAGGTAAAAGGAAACGTGTAATTAATGCTACTTTTTTTTTGTGGAAATGTTTCGCTCTCCGAGAGCTTTGTGAAGCCATTATGTAACGGCCTGACATAGCTACTGGTGAGCGAAACGTTGCCACAATAAAATACCGAATTAGTTGCGCTTGTGCCCTTTTACCTAACATATTGTCGGTAATTGTACCCACATATGACTTTCTGGTTATTATGCTCAATTATCTGTTCTCGTCTGACCTCCCTTATGCTTCTTTTCCACTCTGCACCTCTGTTATCCGTTCTTCTTTTGGGTATGTTAACCTTTGCACCTCGACAACTTTCCAGCAAGATACTCCATCATCTCCTCCACTAAACTTTCCATGCAGTTTACCCTCGCACTGCCCTGTGTTCAGAAATTTCTTGACTCTAGTGAAATTCCCTCTTCTGAAGTCTGGTTTCTCGCAAATTCCACTTGCCAGTTTTCCATCTAAGTTCAGTTGCACAAGACACTCGAAGTGCAGCATTGCATGGTCGCTGACACCCAGTGATTTCACCTACTGTGTACTTACCTATATGTGGTTGCAGGGGTCTAGTCACAGCTCCTATGACTCGATCCCTGTGTGTGAGTGTGTGTGTGTGTGTGTGTGTGTGTGTGTGTGTGTGTGTGTGTGTGTGTGTGTGTGTGTGTGTGTGTGTGTGTGTGTGTGTGTGTCTGTGTGTGTGTGTGTACTCACCTAGTTGTACTCACCTAGTTGAGGTTGCGGGGGTCGAGTCCGAGCTCCTGGCCCCGCCTCTTCACTGATCGCTACTAGGTCACTCTCCCTGAGCCGTGAGCTTTATCATACCTCTGCTTAAAGCTATGTATGGATCCTGCCTCCACTACATCGCTTCCCAAACTATTCCACTTACTGACTACTCTGTGGCTGAAGAAATACTTCCTAACATCCCTGTGATTCATCTGTGTCTTCAGCTTCCAACTGTGTCCCCTTGTTACTGTGTCCAATCTCTGGAACATCCTGTCTTTGTCCACCTTGTCAATTCCTCTCAGTATTTTGTATGTCGTTATCGTGTCCCCCCTATCTCTCCTGTCCTCCAGTGTCGTCAGGTTGATTTCCCTTAACCTCTCCTCGTAGGACATACCTCTTAGCTCTGGGACTAGTCTTGTTGCAAACCTTTGCACTTTCTCTAGTTTCTTCACGTGCTTGGCTAGGTGTGGGTTCCAAACTGGTGCCGCATACTCCAATATGGGCCTAACATACACGGTGTACAGGGTCCTGAATGATTCCTTATTAAGATGTCGGAATGCTGTTCTGAGGTTTGCTAGGCGCCCATATGCTGCAGCAGTTATTTGGTTGATGTGCGCTTCAGGAGATGTGCCTGGTGTTATACTCACCCCAAGATCTTTTTCCTTGAGTGAGGTTTGTAGTCTCTGACCCCCTAGACTGTACTCCGTCTGCGGCCTTCTTTGCCCTTCCCCAATCTTCATGACTTTGCACTTGGTGGGATTGAACTCCAGGAGCCAATTGCTGGACCAGGTCTGCAGCCTGTCCAGATCCCTTTGTAGTTCTGCCTGGTCTTCGATCGAGTGAATTCTTCTCATCAACTTCACGTCATCTGCAAACAGGGACACCTCAGAGTCTATTCCTTCCGTCATGTCGTTCACAAATACCAGAAACAGCACTGGTCCTAGGACTGACACCTGCGGGACCCCGCTGGTCACAGGTGCCCACTCTGACACCTCGCCACGTACCATGACTCGCTGCTGTCTTCCTGACAAGTATTCCCTGATCCATTGTAGTGCCTTCCCTGTTATCCCTGCTTGGTCCTCCAGTTTTTGCACCAATCTCTTGTGTGGAACTGTGTCAAACGCCTTCTTGCAGTCCAAGAAAATGCAATCCACCCACCCCTCTCTCTCTGTGTGTGTGTGTGTGTGTGTGTGTGTGTGTGTGTGTGTGTGTGTGTGTGTGTGTGTGTGTGTGTGTGTGTGTGTGTGTGTGTGTCTGTCTGTGTGTGTGTGTGTGTGTCTGTGTGTGTGTGTGTCTGTGTGTGTGTGTGTCTGTGTCTGATTACTCAGGCTGAAAAAAACATTTCCTGACAGCCAGTTGGCTCTTGTGTCTTTAAGCATGAACTGTGTCTTGGTTCCCCCGTATGGTCACCATACACTGGTGACTGTGTGGTCACCATACACTGGTGACTGTGTGGTCACCATACACTGGTGACTGTGGTCACCATACAATGGTGTCTGTGTGGTCACCATACACTGGTGACTGTGGTCACCATACACTGGTGACTGTGTGGTCACCATACACTGGTGACTGTGGTCACCATACAATGGTGTCTGTGTGGTCACCATACACTGGTGACTGTGTGGTCACCATACACTGGTGACTGTGGTCACCATACACTGGTGACTGTGGTCACCATACACTGGTGACTGTGGTCACCATACAATGGTGTCTGTGTGGTCACCATACACTGGTGACTGTGTGGTCACTATACACTGGTGACTGTGGTCACCATACAATGGTGGCTGTGTGGTCACCATACACTGGTGACTGTGTGGTCACCATACACTGGTGACTGTGTGGTCACCATACACTGGTGACTGTGGTCACCATACACTGGTGACTGTGGTCACAATATAATGGTGTCTATGTGGTCACCATACACTGGTGATTGTGTGCTCACCATACACTGGTGATTGTGTGGTCACCATACACTGGTGACTGTGTGGTCACCATACACTGGTGATTGTGGTCACCATACAATGGTGACTGTGTGTTCACCATACATTGGTGACTGTGTGGCCACCATACACTGGTGATTGTGGTCACAGTACAAGGTGACTGTGTGTTCACCATACACTGGTGACTGTGTGGCCACCATACACTGGTGACTGTGTGGTCACCATACACTGGTGACTGTGTGGTCACCATATACTGGTGACTGTGTGGCAACCATACACTGGTGACTGTGTGGCCATAATACACTGGTGACTGTGTTCACCATACACTGGTGACTGTGTAGTCACCATACACTGGCGACTGTGTGGTCACCATACACTGGTGACTGTGTGGCCACCATACACTGGTGACTGTGTGTTCACCATACACTGGTGACTGTGTGGTCACCATACACTGGCGACTGTGTGGTCACCATACACTGGTGACTGTGGTCATCATACACTGGTGACTGTGGTCACAATACACTGGTGACTATGGTCACCATACACTGGTGACTGTGGTCACCATACAATTGTGACTGTGTGGTCACCATACACTGGTGACTGTGTGGTCACCACACACTGGTGATTATGTGGTCACCATACACTGGTGACTGTGATAACCATACACTGGTGATTGTGGTCACCATACAATGGTGACTGTGTGTTCACCATACACTGGTGACTGTGTGGCCACCATACACTGGTGACTGTGTGGTGACCATACACTAGTTACTGTGGTCACCATACGCTGGTGATTGTGGTCACCATACAATGGTGACTATGTGTTCACCATACACTGGAGACTGTGTGGCCACCATACACTGGTGATTGTGGTCACCATACAATGGTGACTGTGTATTCACCATACACTGGTGACTGTGTGTCCACCATGCACTGGTGATTGTGTATTCACCATACACTGGTGACTGTGTGTCCACCATACAATGGTGACTGTATGGTCACCATACACTGGTGACTGTGTGGTCACCATACACTGGTGACCGTGGTCACCATACACTGGTGATTGTGGTCACCATACAATGGTGACTGTGTGTTCACCATACACTGGTGACTGTGTGGTAACCATACACTGGCGACTGTGTGGTCACCATACACTTGTGACTGTGGTCACCATACACTGGTGACTGTGGTCACAATACACTGGTGACTATGGTCAACATACACTGGTGACTGTGGTCACCATACACTAGTGACTATGGTCACCATACACTGGTGACTGTGGTCACCATACACTTGTGACTGTGTGGTCACCATACACTGGTGACTGTGTGGTCACCATGCACTGGTGATTGTGTGGTCACCATACACTGGTGACTGTGATCACCATACACTGGTGATTGTGGTCACCATACAATGGTG